GGACATGGCGCGAGGTGGGGTGGTAAAACTGCCAGCCAGGTGCATCAGGGGGAAAGCCAAGGAAGACGCAGAGAATGGCGCGGGAGGAGAGCTTGTCCGCAGAGGTATCGCGGACAAAGGCACGAGATCCCCAGACCCGGAACACCGACGAATCGCCAACCTCTCCCGTCCAACGTAGTGTCGGCGAGGTCTCCGGCAAGGAGACACGGGGCCATAGGTTGAGCTGATGCGCAGCGTACTGGACCGCAAACGGCCATAGAAAATGGGGAGCCGCCGCATGGATCATGGAGGTACGAGCTACCTCCATGACTAAGCCAATGCGGCGCTCAGCAATCCCATTTTGCTGCGGGGAGGCCGGAAGCGTGAACGACTGGAGAATGCCCTCCCCACGACAAAAGTGCTGCAAGAGGTCGGAGGAGAACTCACCACCTCTGTCAGAGTGCAGACTCAGGACAGGAAGGTCCGAGTCGAACCGCTCGCGGAGCTGGAGACGGACAGCGCGGATCCAAGGGATCAAAACATCAAGGACCTCCCCCTTGCTGCACAAGGGGAAGACCGTGGTGTAACGCGAGTAGTCGTCAACAACCAGCAGAAAGTATCGCTCGCGACCCTTTTCACGGACGTAGGCTGGGCCCCATACGTCCATGTGGAGAGTCTGCAGGGGAGCAGTCGTCGGGGGAAACGAGGAGTGAGGAGCGGCGCGCTGCCGCCCCTCGACACAGGGAAGGCAGGGAGGGGTAGGCGAGGGTGGGAGGGCTGGCAGAGACCTGGGAAGACCAGAGACAAAGAGACGGGAGTGCATGCCACGGAGGCATGGCAGGGAGGGGTGACCAAGGCGGTGGTGCCAAAGGAGAGTCTGGTGCGACAGGGCTCGACACGAGTAAAGGGCTGCAAGCTGACCTGACGCGGACACTGACGCAGCTACCTGAGGAGGCTCAGTAGTCAGTGTGTACATACTCGACCCAGGCCGAAGAGTGAACGTGGCCAGGTGACAGCCCGTTCGTGTACACGTGCAGATCGCCACACGCTGACCCCCAGTAGCGGTGGTAGTGACCATCGCATCCTGGAGGGCAGCGGTACTCACCAAGTTTGTAGAGAACGAGGGGAGGTGAAGACCTGGCAGTGAGCCAGACGGAACCGCCGGACACGGGAGAACAGTGGTGGAACGTGCAAGAACTGGGCCCCCGGAGGGGTCACCCAGTCTGACTGCAACCGGTGCAGGGAGTGGTGCGAGTGTGGTACTGTCGCGAAAGAAACAGCGGGAAGCACCTGAGTCAAGCGTGAAGGTGTGCAAGGCCTCACCAGGCGCAGTACCAGAGAGAGCAGACTCACTAGCACCTAGAGCAGTAGCCCCTATACCTGGGTTGGGAGGCATACACAAATAACAGTCACCCTCAGCACTTATAGTCAATGCATACATGGCAGCAAGGATAGCATCATAATCAAGAGCAAAGATATCCACACCCTTCCTAAGCAGCTCTTCCCAGCGGGGGAGCTCATTTGCGTTGGGAAACTGTATCCGAAAGGCGTCGTCAAGACGGGAGAAGCAAGGTGCTGGGTGTGAAACTTCTCGCATCTCTGACCAGCGCGGCCACCTGTGCGAATGACATACGGGCAGCGAGCACTACCCTCAGATGCCCCACGCTGAGCAAACCACTCACGAAGCTGCTGGGGCGTGTCTCGCTCGGACTCTGCTGCTGCTGCCTCTGGCCACCACCAGAACCCCCCCTCGGAACAGCTCCACCCCAACCGCCACCACTGCTACCGCCACCACACCCATGTGTAATCAAATGACCCGTACCTAGTCCTAAATGCCGTCTTGGCGCTGTCCGATGGTTCGACCCGAATCTGATGGTAACCTCCCCGTAAATCGATTTTCAAAAAGACCCGTGCTGTTTGCAGTTGATCTATCAGTTTGTCGGCGCGGGGGATGGGGTATCGCGATTTGACTGTAACCTTGTTCGGCACCCTGTAATCGATGCACATGCGAAAACCTCCGTCCTTTTTCGGTGTGAACAGTATTGGTGCGGCGAACGGTGACGAGCTCGGTCGGATGAATTTTTTCTCTAATAGGTAATCCAACTACTTCCTCAGTTCGTCGAGCTCGGGCTGTGTCAGTCTAAACTGTCGCTATACGGTTGGCTGTGCCCCATGTTCTAACTCTATTCGGTGATCGTGTGCCCGCTGAGGTGGCAGTCCCTCCGGTAAGTCATCGGGAAAAATCCCCGGGTATCGTTTCAGCAGTTCCTGAAGTTCGGGCGGTACCGCTGCCAGCAGTTTCTGAAAATCACTCGGCTGCTCTGCTTTTTCTACCACTGTGATATCCACCGCGTACACATCAGCTCCAGCGGCGATAGCCCGTTTCATTGTGATGGCGTTGACGTGGACCGTTGAAGACCCAGGCGACTGCCAGCGAGGTAGTTCAACCCAGTTACCACTACTTCGCACAGTGCAGCTACCCGTCGTCTAGTTGATTTGCGGGTTGTACCGTCGTAGCCAATCATGCCCCAGTAAAATGTCGTGCCCATCCAATGTCGTCGCGAGCATTTCCTGTGTAAACCCGAAGTTCCCCCCGCAGCGGACTTTTACTCTCTCCAATTTATGCCGTATGGCCAGCGGCGTTCCGTCAACTAAGCATGCGTCTATCTCCGTTAAACACCGACTAAGTGCCAGTTGTAGCTTCCGTGCAGTCGCGGTATTAACTAAGCTGTGACTTGCGCCTCCATCAATAAAAATCTTCACTGCTGCTCCCTGTATTTTCCCATGGATCAGTACTGGGCAATCCGTCGTTGTACCCTCCTTGTTCATCCGAGCCCGATCGATAGCGTGAATCGGTACTGTGACTCGGTGAGGGTCGGTGAGGTTGGGCAAGCAGGTAGTCTCCTCAGTAGTTGGCCCAATTTCTATTGATTGTTGGCGTTTCCCTGCCTCTGAAACTCCCCCCCCTGCTCTGTTCCGTGGCCCCTCAGCTCCTCTGGGCATTCGCTCTTGCGATGGCCCGGCCGATTGCAAGCAAAGCAGCGCCCCTTAAACGGTGCGGCAGCTGCATTCGTCGCAACGGCGTGTACGATGGCGTGCTCAATCGGTCCCCGAGGACGATGTCCGTAGTAGGACCCCGGTCTCGGACGGCGCAAAATGTCGATTTTCTCGGTGAGCGCGATGATCTCGTTAAAATTCGAGAGCCCGCGTAACATGATTTCGTGCGAGATGTTTGGCTTCAGCCCTCCGATGTGACGGTCCACCCGCTCCGCTTCGTTCATGTAGCCGACTTGCTCGCATGATGCGAAAAAACCGCTCGTGTAGTCTTGAACTGATCCGAGCTGCCGCCAAGTACGCAGTCTCTGACGCGTCGAAATAGAAGCCGCGATCGGCTCGAAGCGCGTCCGAAGCCCTGCGCACCACGCATCCCACGTGCTGTACTGGGCTGTCTCGCAAAATGAACTCCAGGTGACGGCTGGCCCCGTGGGCCCTTCCTCTTGCGACGGTGGCTCATAGGCGCGTGGCGACGTCACGATGACTGATACCAGTCCATGGCGGGGCCCCTCAGCAGCGAAACGGCGTAGCGAATCTTCGCTGCGTCCGACTCGACGTAATTCGCGTCGAAAAAAACGTTCATCGTGAAGACCCACGATTGAACCGTCGGACCTCCACGTTGGCTTGGATAAAAAAAGGGCGGGCGTTGCGGCTTGAGTGGCATTGGTGCCATGATGTCGTGGTTGCCGCTTGTTGCTGCAAACTCCACGTGCCGACGAGCTTCACGAGGCTCACGTTGGCTTGGTGCGGCCCTATTTCTCTCCATGCCAGGCATTGAGTGAGTGGCGCCATCGCTGGCTACGCCTGAGCATTGTCCCACGCTGTCGTTCTGTGTCGGTGTGCCTGATGAGATGACGATCGACTCCTCCGATTGTGCAGGTGCGTGTGTTGGTCCTGGTGCATTCACCGTTGATTGCTGGTGAGCATAGTCGCGTTCCGCCGTGAGTGTAGCGATTTCGAGGGCCGAATCTTCGAGTTGGCGCCCGAGACGGTCAAGCTGCGCTTGCGTCAGTGTCACGAGATTAATTTCAGCCATGGCGGGGGTGTCGGGCAAGCTCAACGAGAGTCTCTGTCGTGGCCGTGCGTGCTTACGAGAGAGCAATTCGAGCGGCGGTGCTTGTTCGCTGAGAGACGTCTACCCCCCCCAAAAAATGAGATAGTGGGGAAGCGAAGGTGTGGGTGCGGTCCGAGAGGAGATCATAGGCTTTGAATACCAAATGTTACGAGTGCAATTGAGTGAGCGAGCGAGGATTGCACTATCGAAGCAAGAATCCAATGAGCGAAGAATATATAGCGGAACTACAGTGGTAACGGTAATGTGTGGGAAATGGGGTGCGCGACAGGCCTAGTGCCGAGGCTGGGAATTGTCGAGGCGGAGGTCCGGAGCGCGGGTTACCAACCGAACCGTGAGGTTGCGTCATGAACAGTGGCGGGAATAGTGTCGAGGCGAGTGTCGCGAGTGGTAACGGGTTATTGTTGGGTGCTGTTGGCGGGAAACAGTGGTGTACGCGCTGAGCAGGGACGCGAAGTAAGGAAAATGAATTTTCCTTACGTGTCAGATTCAGTGCTTGGACAAATAAAACTTCATACTCGTCATGTTATTATGAACAACTACACTTGATGTTCTTGGATGGGTTCTTATCTTGAAGTGCTGGGGCACCCCGACGAATCAGGCTTGCGGAAGCCCCAGTGTTTTCGGGACTGTGCCGCGCAGCTGAGACAATCTCCCGCCGTTAGCGGTTTGTTGGGTTTGGTGGTGGCGAACTTCAGCAAAACTCCGACGTGTGCAGCAACATTTCTCCCATTTCACCCCACCTTCCTCTAGTGATTGAAGCCCTGTCTCCCCCATTCTTGGTTGTTGGTCTTCCACATTCTCACATTTCAGCTACCCTAGCTGAGTGGACGAGTTTCCTTTTCCTAGCACGCACCAGCATTTTTGGAGACTGTAGTACTCGATCACAGGCGCCATGGTTAGTTGATGTTTTTCTTGTTAGCTGCATTTGCCGTTTTCGGCATTTATGCAGTTCATGACTAACGGCGTTTTATAATGGCTCGTTGTACAGGCCAACGCTCGTTCTGGTATGGCGGTGTCGGAGGAGTGCCTGTTGAAATTCTCAAGTCTCCAGAAGAAAAAGGCTTACCGCTTCATTACCTACAAGATTGAGAAGGACCAAATCGTAGTGGATAAGTTTGGAGAACCTGAGAAGACCTACGCTGACTTCCAAGCTGCTCTTCCTGAGAATGACTGCCGTTATGCGGTTTTCGACCACGAGTTTGTTACAGACGACCACTGCCACAAGAGCAAGATTTTCTTCATCGCCTGGTAAACCCGTCAGCTTTTCAGATCTGCCACATACTCGCGCACTTAATCGGATTGTGAACCATTTGTCTGAACGTTTTATTTTCTTCTTCTTCCCAGGTCTCCTGACACGTCAGCTGTGAAGAACAAGATGATTTACGCCAGCTCGAAGGATACCTTCCGCCAGCAGCTTGCCGGTGTGCAAATTGAGCTTCAGGCAACAGATGCGTCTGAAATGGACCTTGATATCATTAAATCGAAGGCACTCAGGTAAAATCCTTGAATGTCGAATCGCGTAGGACTAGGGTTATGACGCCCTAATGCTTGCAGTGAGGTAATGCTCTCCTAGACTGTCCATTAGCTTTTGCGGAACCTGCCCTGGTTACATTTGTTTATGTTGTGAAAGGCGTATTTCTTATTACCGTACACGTGAGTCCTGTACACGTGAGTAGCTTGCAAATCCCACAAGTTTGGCATACGTATAGCCTTGAACGTGAAAGTTTGAGAAAGAGCAGGTATATCCATGCTTGTACGGTGCAAGCAGGACATGGGATTCTACCGCACCTCTCCCACCACAGCTGGAGCATTTGGCTGGAGCAGGAACCATACATCAGTTCTTTGTACATGCAGGACATGGGATTCTACCTCTTCCTCCACAGCAGGAGCATTTGGTTTTCTGATCTGAAACTACAGACGACTTAGGTGTCTTAGGTGGCTCCAGTTCTGGAGTACCAAAAACTGGCAGCTGAAACACATTTGCCTGTTTGCTGCAAGCTTTGCACGGCAAGTATCCAACTCCCCCACATCCCTCGCAAACACCAAGATCCCTGAAATGGGCACAAGAGGTGATGTAGGTATGGTGGTGTCGGTATGGAGGAAGTCGTTCAGAAAAGCAGGAATGGGAAAGATGATTCATGGCAAAACGAGGTGCAGGCATAAGCTGATTGAAAAATGCAGGGAAGGGGTTGCATTAGATACCGCCTTTTGTCTCGCATTCACTCACACATCACGTTCTCTACCTGTATATGTGGAGTGATATCCACCATTCAGCATTGTTAGCTCCGAAATTACACCTTTTGGAGCATGCATACTCACCGCCGTTGAGCCCGCGCGAACCACTCGTCGACGCGTGGCGCGCTAGCCGCACACGCGAGGATCGCGGCTCCGAAGACGAGCCCCGCAATCTCGCTCTCCGTGAACGGCTGGAGCCACAGCAGCGTCGCTCCTATATCAGCAATACCTGACACGTAAGACGCGTCTGGCTGAAAAGAGGCTACGCGCCCGTGCACGGACATGACATCCGCCACGCCTGGAGTGACGGTTTCAAGGTGAGCCTGAATGCCTAAACGGAGGGGTGGCGGAGCTGGTAGCGATGTGGCTGACGAGAGCAACGACCTAAGTGGCAGAGCGATAGACATCGCACTTGATCGAAGCGGCAAAGCGTGAGATAGAAGTGGTGTCACCGGAACGACGGCGAATACCGCCATCGCAGCAATCACAGGCAAGCAGACGCAGCACGGACTGGTGATGCTGAATGGTTGGAGATTGTGGAGCTAGATTGCGGAGGTGGTAGAATCTCGGCAACAAGTGAACTTGAGGGACAACTATGATGAATGGAGGTGTTCAACGAGTTTTTGAGTCAGTCGGTACGAGGTGGGTTGAAATTGGTGGAATGAGAAACGAGACCGGCGCTAGCCGGTAACGCGTACAGAAAGCCCTTTCCAACCTGTCAGCTAAAACCTTCATCCTGAATTGTTCCCTCCCTTACCTGATGAGTTCATGATCTTCATCCTGAATGAATTCGTAAAACCTGGACGTTCGCTCCTACCACCTCTGCAAGTTCTGTCAGCTTTTCTCGCATCGCCACCCAACCGTAGAGTCGCCATGCTTCAGACTAGCTTCGCCACGTCACAGCAGCATCACTGTCCTTCACACCTACCTAACGTCGTTACTTGCAGGGGTGTCGTCAGCTCCCATTCCTTTCACACCGTCAAATCTCCTCCACGCAGGTCGTGTGTTCCGGTGCCTGCACGCGCCCCTCTAATCGCCGTAGCATCTGCTCGTTATTCCCATGCCCTTCGCGGCGAAGCGCAACGACTCTGCGATAACCAGCTGCAATGGGGAATCAAACAAATAATATCAGGAATGCGAGCTTTGCGGCGGCTTAGACCACGTGCTGTGAAAGCGGCTGGCGAGAATGAAAGCGGGAGCGGTTACGTCGAGGGAGGAGGGGAGACGAGTGGAGTAGAACCTGTAGCTCGTGAGGGGCTGGGTGCGGAAGGGGGGTTGTCAGCTATTGGCTCGGGACGGCGAAGCAGGTGCCGAAGCAGATCAGGTGGTTCGGATGATACCGGCTCGGGGAAGGAGGAAAGGCGAGGTCCAGGAAGTTCGGGGAAGGGGGGAACCGTTGGCCGGCGCAAGTGGCTGCCGAAGGAGCCTGGAGCAATGCAAGGCGGGAAAGTAGATTTTGATGATCGAACGGTTGAGAAGCACCAGGGAGAGGCAGATCAACGGTCAGGATGGGAGGTAGCGCAAGAGCCGCTCGAGGCTGCGGCGCTTAGCGAGGATGACGCGGGATTCGGGGGGAAAAGCGGAACCGGAGAGGTCGTAAGTGAGACAGCTGACGCGGCTGAATACCGTCGCATGGAGCGAAGCTTCGGGGAACGAGCGCAGGAGATGGATCCGGAGGAGCTTAGGCTGGCGAGGCAGCGGGTGGCCGATCTTATTCGTGCCGGGGATGATGTGGAACAGGTGAGAGATGACGTGGCACAGACTTTCGGATTTGTGCTCATGGAGAGAAGTCCAAGTTCCCCAGTCACCAAGCGAAAGGCTTGTAGTGAGGTTGACGCCCCTTGTGTCAACCTGACCAACCAATTCCTCCCCTCTTGTCTGAGACGCTGGGTGCACGGGGTGCTGGGTTGGTGCATGAGACTTTGGTTTGGTGTGGTGCACGGGACTCTGCGTTGGTGCGTGCAGGAGATTGTGCGGCTGGGCAGGGAGGGCGCGCTGAACGATGCTCTCATCCTCGTGATTCAGAACCGCCTCAACTTCGCCCGGCATGATGTGAGTGCTTGATGGGATGGTTGCGCATGGATGGAAGTGATTGTGAGGGAGGACGGGGGGAGGGGTGCGGATTGATGTGCGCGATGCGGGGGGGGTGTAACTGATGTAAGTGGTGCGGTGGGAATATGGCCTGTTCCATGTACATCCCTCAACTGCCTTGGCTCTCCTGCCTCCCTGTGCCCCTTGCAAGCAGAATGAGCGCCACGTGGTGCAGTGCCTCGATCTCTTGCTGCGCCGCATCGAGGTCAGTCCACCTTCCTGCCACACATCCGTTCCATCCCATCCCATCCCATCCCGTGTCATGTCTGCTCCCTTGCTTGTTTCCCCTGCTTGTCCCCCATGCTTGCCATGCCATCCCTAGCCATGCAATGCTCTCTGCTGTTCACCTTCCCATGACCTCCTTCTCCACCTCACGCCGGATTTGGGCCTACCAAACCTCTCAAAGAGCTACCACTCTATAGCCTCTCCTCATCTGCACCCTCCCATCTGTTGCCTTCTCCCTGCACCTCCTGCTTCCTGCAATTCTCTGTCTCTCAATGGCCCCTCGCGCTCTCCCGCCACAGGCAGAGAGGGAGGCGCAGCAAGCCACACCCGCCCTACGCCTTCTCAACACCCTCCTGCACCTTGCGGATGACCTCAGCGCTGACATCAGCACCTCCGGCTACGACCAATGGCAGCGCGAGGCGCGTGATGCCATGAGAGCAGTGTTTCTGCCGGAGGACCCGTTCACGGTGGTCATGCCGATGGTGAATGGCACAGACGCTCCATCAGCATCAACCCCATGGGTACGTGCCGCAGGCTGTTTTTTAGGCGCCTCAAAAATCGATGCCATGAGAGCAGTGTTTCTGCTGGAGGACCCATTCACGGTGGTCATGCCGGTTGGGAATGTCGCAGACGCTTTACAAGCATCCTCCTCATGGGTACGTGCCGTAGGCTGTAGCTATGTGTATTTTTTTAAGCGGTAACACTGTGAATACACCTGGAAGACATTCACTTCGACTGTTCCTACCGTTGTGTCCTCCCGTTAAAATCCTCACTGTCTTGCCTTCATCTCCTGGCAATTCTGCCTGTTCAGAATGACCTCGGTGGTACGGCTGATTCGGGCGCAAGCATGGGTGGTGAGAGCACGCTTCTTCGAATCGACTTTATCCGGGAGCTGGAGGAGCTTTTAGAAATTGTTGAAGCTGATGCTGCAGCCGCTGCTGAGGTTATCACCAAATCTTTCAACTTCCCGCTAGACGGTCCACCAGAATCAGAAGTTAACGGCAACACAGTTATTGAGGAAGATGGGGGTTCATGGGGTGACCTCGATGCCGACAAAGTGGCATTGAAACTACGCCTAGAGGAGCGCTTGCGTATCATCAGCCGTGTTAGAGACCTTCAAAGGATTGCAGCTACGCTAAATCTATAATCTCGCACTTTTCTGGTGTACTTTTACACTGAGCGAGTCAGCTGCCTTTCGAGTTCCAGAACAGTGTCTCGACGAACCCTAGTACAGTAGTCAGGCATCGCTCCTGACTGCTACGTTGGCGCCAAAGTGCCAGTTAGTGCGCACCGCTGGACTGGAACGGCAAAACTGGTGAGCTTTGATAGGCGCAGCCCCAGCTCAGCAGATGCGAGGTTACCACAAACACTTGAAGTATTTCGGCAAATCCTAATCAACCAGTCGAGAGCATCGGTACCGTCGTCAAAATCTTCGTGACAGCTAATTTCGCGAACACGCTTCCAGGAGAAAGTCAGCTTCTGTATTCTTTTCGGTCAAGCATTCGTTGGGCGACGCTTCCAGGGTAGCATTGTGGTCTGTTCTGTTCATCACACAGACTAAGGGTGGTGCTGCTGATCTTCTTGGTCGGGCATTTGTTGTTCCGTTTGCCTTGCAGGAGCTTGCTGCAGGCGATTGCCAGACATACATTTCTGGACGGAGAGGGGCTGCTGCTCCTTCAGGTGTTTCCTGTCGTGCACGAAACCCACAGTTTTCTTTCTTCTCGTCCTCCCCTGTGTCTACGCGCAAGTTAGTCTTTCTTGTGATATTCTCGGACACAAACAACCTCAGGCTCGTGTCTTGTCACTCCTGCGGTAATATGTGTGACAAGCACAAAACTGAACTTTTTTTTGCGAAGCGACTTTACGATTTGTGGATCGCAAGAATTTAGTAAATACGAGCAGTCAGCGTAGATAATCTCATTTATGCATCAACATATGTCGTACAAATACTAGCTTTCCACGTCAATGCGACGAGCATAGTTTAACTTGTAAGACGGAGCGGCATGGCCGACAGGAAGAAGGAACGTGCGGTAGTAATAACCTCATTTGACTTCTTAACTCTCCTGCTTGCAATTAGTGCGTTAAAATGCATACCTAAAGCCACCGCGTTTCACCATGGCACCCACCGTCAGTATTCGCGTCAAAATTGGGCCTCTGGCCTCGTCGGAAAGCTCGCGCTCCGCGCGAAACCGCACAGCAGCAGCAGCGACTCGGAGTTATTAACTTATGGCCACAATGGCATTACCAGGCACGATTTGTTGGAGCGATTAGCGACGCCAGCTGTGCCAGGAGGTCCCCCTTCTACTCCGAAACCAGCGCCTGTTACGCTTGCCCAGTCACAGCGTGAGTGCTGCCTTTCTCACTATTACTCTCGCGTTTCTCTCCATTCACCTTTGGTTAGAAACGTTTACGAGACAACCTTCGGTGAAAGCTTTCTGGAATACCGTGTGTTGTTCGCAAATAGTAACGCGAAGCCCTTTCCGCGTGGCCGTCACCCGCTCCACATTATTCCCCGCAGTGAACGGGCTGATCGCTCTGAACGCGGCGTGGCGGCTGTGGCCCGGCAATGGCAAGCGGTCGACCCAGTGCCGGCAGTGGACCGGGATCAAGTGCAACCCGCAAGGCATGGTCACTGCGCTGTGAGTCATTGCGTTGTGTCGCATGCTCCTGTGCCGAGCATATGCAAATGATTTGATCTCACTGCGTCACAACCCTAAATTCTGGGACTTTTTCCTTTTTAGAACTTCCTTCCTCTCGCCTGCGTCGTTCTGCCTGCAGCATGTGGGATGGCAACACCGCATCGACACCCATAGAAGGACCCATACCGCCTGACATTGCCACTTTCACTGCGCTCTCCGTTCTGTAAGCAACACTAACAACTGTTACACGAGCCACCCGAGTCCGTGCTCTACGCTGCCTAGGGTTCCTTACAACCCACCGTCACTCCCAAGGCTTCCTGTGCTCGCTCACGTCTCTCGTTCCCATGCTTGCCCACATGTGTGTGGAGCGAGTGTGTTGTGGCATGCATGCGTGTGTGCATGCGCTGCGCGCATGCGTGTTGCGTGTGTGCGTGCGTGTGTGCATCCGTGTGCGTGCGTGTGTGCATGTGCGCACGCACGTGCGCAAGAGTGTGTGCGTGCGTCCGTGTGCATGTGTACGCATGTATGCGTGTATGCATGCATGCGTACGTGCATCTGTTTGTGCTCGCTCACTCGGTGGGTGGGTGGGTGCGTGTCTTCCGTGCATCATTCCCCCCTGTCGCGTGCTGCATGCAGGGACCTCCCGTCCAACGCCATCAATGGAACCATTCCAGTGCGCACTTTCCAGCAACTCAAGCAGCTGCAGATACTGTCAGTCACACCTGCGCTCCTGCACCGCCAGCCTGAGCCGCACACCTTCAGCCTGCTTTCTTGCGCATGTGACCTGCGTTACTGTTGAGTCATGACGTGAAAACAGACTCCCTGTAGGTAGGGCCAACGAATCAGAGAAAGAGAATGCCTTGAAAGGAAAAGATAATTAATATTATGATTTGCATTGGAGGCCCCTCTCCTCCTTCCCCTCTCCCTTCCTCCTCTGACTCCTCTCCCTTCCGCCCTTGATCCCGTCCCCTCCCCTCCCCCTCGCCTCTCCCTGACAGGGATCTGTCCCAGAATAACCTTGTGCCGCCCTTTCCAGCTCGCGCATTGCAGTACATGACGGGCCTGCAACATCTGTGAGTGCCATGTGGAGTGGAACGTGCCTCTGTGCTGATGCATGCAATGCAGTGACTCCACGGGATGCACTCACAGAATGCTGCAGCCACAGCCTCATGATACAACAAGGCAGAATAAATCATAGTTTCGATTCAATGTTGAATCCCTGAGGATGCGTCCCAACGCATTCGCATCACAGCCCGTTCATGTGCTTGTTTCAGTGCCTGGCCTTGCCCTGCGGCCTCAGGAGGTGTGTATTGATCTGATAGTTGGACTTTATTGTACTGTACAACGTTATGCCTGTACTGTACTGTACTACATTATGGCTACTGTACTGTACTGTACCACGTTATGCAGGGAAGCTGCTGCCTTGGGTGGTTGTTGGCTACTGCTAGCATTGTCAGGGTTACACCCAGTGCATTGCACACCTGCTTCATGCTGCCTTTGTGTGATCTGAACCTGCTCTCTGCTATCCCTCTACTCTATTGCTTACCCCCTCTCCTCCCCTCCTCTCCCCTCTCCCCCTCTTCCGTCTTACTCTACTCTACTTTCCCCCCTCTCCTCTGCTCCATGTCAAGTCAACCGCCCATTTGCTCCATCCTTTCCCTCCAATAACCTGTATGGCATGAGTTTTGGGTCGACTGAAAACTCGTCCCATTTTCTCCGTTGTTCTCTTCCAGGGATCTGCATGGCATGGTGGCACTTGGCAGCACTCTCGACATGCTTGGCTACTCCAACGCCTTTCAATACATGTCTGATTATTGCTCCTTGCTGCTTTCTCCCTCTCGCTCTCTCGCTTTGTTGTACCTGTTGCCCTCCTCTTATGTAGCATTATGCTCCTCTGTTATTCACATCACATGTCTGATTACCATTTTATGCTTTGTTGTCCCTCGCGCTCTCTTGCTTTAGTGTAGCTGTTGTTTTCCTCTCATGCGGCATCATGCCGCCTGTTTCTTCACCGTACTTATGTTATTCACAATACATCATCTATCCTCCAGCTTTCCCTTCTCCCACCCGTTTCCTGTCACTTCTCCTCCTTCATGTCACTTCAACCTCATTCACTCACCTTTTTGTTGCAAGTTCGTTTCCCCCGGTTTCTCTCCCAGTCTTTTGGCACCCTGTTCACATTGTTTTCCCCCTGTTTCGTATGGTATGACAGTGACATCTCATATACTGAATCCACAGGCGCCCTCCCACCTTCACTTGCTGCAGCCTCCAACCTCTCTCACCTGTGAGTGCAATGTCAATCACCCCTGAGTGCAAGCAATGTCATGTCACATTTGTGCTATACAGCCTCCCGGACCCGTTTGGATGCCAAGGTCAATCCGGCTCGTCATCGTGCCTACCTATCATCAGCTAGTTTGTCATGTGCGTTCTCTTGTCATCCTCTTCCTCTGGTAACCACATGTTGCCCCCCTGTAACAAACGGCCGGATCCGCCATCTCTATGTGCAAGCACCTTGGCCTTGACCCCTGCTTCCCCCCTTGTGTGCGTCACTGAGTTATCGCAGGGACCTGACATACAACTATCTCAGCGGGAAGGTTGTCAGCATTCTCAGCAACCTTACCTCCCTTACTTTCCTGTGCGTCCTCTCCAACCGCGATTTATCTCCACTTTCCTTTGCTCTGTGTGTGTGTGTGTGTGCGCGCGCCCACGCGTGTGTGTGTGTGTGTGTGTGCATGTGCGTGTGCGTGTGTGCGTGTGTGTGTGTGTGTGTGTGCATGTGCGTGTGCGTGTGTGCGTGTGTGTGTGTGTGTGCATGTGCGTGTGCGTGTGTGCGTGTGTGTGTGTGTGTGTCGGTTGAGAAAGTGGGGACTGAGGGGGGAAGAGAGAGGGGTTGTTGGGAGGAATTCCTTGTTAATTCGACGCATTCCTTGTACCTTCAGGTCCACCTACCGTCATCTGTTGCTGTCAGCCTCTCACAACTCATGCATCACCCCATTCTCGTTCGCTGCTGCTGCCCCTACCCCTCCCTCTCATCCTTCCTGTTTTCCTCTTCTGCTACCTCCAAAGTCCCATGCTGTGTCACTTATTCTACTCCACCTCTTCCTTCTCACCCCGCTGCTCCTCTTTCCTTCTCCCCACCCCTCTTCTTTCCTCCACACCTCGCTGCTCCTCTTTCCTTCTCCCCACCCCACTTTCCTCCTCACCTCGCTGACGTATTTCCTTCTCCCCGCCCCTCTTTCCTTCGCCCCGCTCGCACCCCTCCCGTGCCACAGCTCCATCATTAGGGCTGTTGACCTCATTGATAGCTTCGCCTCCTTCTCTTCGCTCTCGCGCCTCTCGCTCTTGCAGCACCTGTGAGTAAGCATTGTTGGGGCAATACAGGGTTTTTTTTTCACTTTCAAGTTTCAACCTTGCACGCCCTGCTGATGACCCCTGATTTTTGAAATGTCTCAAAGGGTTAGAATTAGGAAAATTCCTGACTTTTGAGATGCTTAAAAAAAAGCATTTCTTAAACCAGCCATGCACGCCCTGCTGATGGCTGGCCATAGGCCCTGGAGATACGAGAGCACCCGCGCTTGTGCCGTATGCTGGCGTGTGTGTGCTCTGCCATGTGCCCTCCACCACTATAGCCCCAATGTGATGTGCTATGCTCTATTCTTTGTGCGTTGTGCTCTCTCTCCTGCTCGCGTCAACATCGCTACTAATATCGTAAACCATACCAATAACCTTCACACTCTGGGTATGTAGCACGCGGGTTGCTGCAGGGAGCTGGTGTCGTGTCGTTGCACCACATAACATTTGAGTCGGCTCAAAAAGCATACCACTAACCTTCATACTCTGTGCATGCATGTGTAACACACGGATTGGTGCAGGGATCTGGCATCGTTGCACAACATGACGGGCCGCCTCGAAGACATGACCTTCCTCACATCGCTTCCTAAGCTGCGCCATCTGTATGCATTCTTCTTTCAACATTGTATAAAAGCAGAAACCTTCAGTGTTTTCTGCACCGTCTGTATGCCGCTCAATCCGCCGCCACGTAGGTGTTTCTTGTTGCAGGTCGCTCTCTAGATTTCTCAAACGCCATCGGTACATCTCCACCTCCTCGCTTTCCTCCCCCTTCACCCCCCTCCTCTGGAGTCCCTGCTGCTTGCACCCTCCTCCTGTCCCTGTGTGTTATGAGCTGACTCAAAGCACACCCTCCTCTCCCTTCTGCTACCACCACCAGGCGTTTCGGGGATATGAACGTGCAGGGGGAGCTTCCCCCGGAGCTCATCCTTCTTGATAAGCTCACATACCTGTGAGGCCCCTGCTCCTTGCCCACTTACCTGTGAGGCCCCTGCTCCTTGCCCACTTACCTGTGAGGCCCCTGCTCCTTGCCCACTTACCTGTGAGGCCCCTGCTCCTTGCCCACTTACCTGTGAGGCCCCTGCTCCTTGCCCACTTACCTGTGAGGCCCCTGCTCCTTGCCCACTTACCTGTGAGGCCCCTGCTCCTTGCCCACTTACCTGTGAGGCCCCTTCTCCGTGCCCACCTTCCTCTGAAATTTATTCTTGGCATTCCTGCTTACCTTCCTGTATCGCATTTCAATTTTTTGCTGCCTTCCCATATCTAGTGCGTCTCTGGTCAGGGTCAGGTCGGGTACCTACAGTCCTGACCCGACCTGTCCTGACCCATTGCTGGTGTCCAGTCTCTCCAGCTCTCAGCCTGCTGCTTCACCTCTGTGGAAAGCGATGAGGAAGCAAGCACGTGCAGTAGATCACTCCTGATTCTCCCCAACCCTGACTAGAGTTTTCAGCAACCTGTGTCACATCCGTTCCAAGAGCTCCTTGAGCCTCAGTAACATCCATTCGTGTGCCAAGCCAACCATCCGCCCGTGCGGTGCTGTGTGCAGCGACCTCAGTCACATTCACTCCACCAGCGTGCCTCTCATGCTGATTCAGGGCATTCTGTTTGCTTCTTGTGTCAATCATATCTATCTATGAGTGCTGTGCTGTGTGCAGCGACCTGAGCTACCTCTATTTCAACGACGTGCCTCTCTGGCTAGGGACCTTCACCAACCTCCGAACTCTGTAAGTAACCCTGCCGTTCTGTGCATGGGGCCGCTTACTCTTCCCCATCTTCTCGCCTAGTATTCACCCATGTGGACAAGAAACTCATGTGGACTGCTCTGCTGTGCCCAGTGCTTCACCCATGTGGCCTGGTCACAGCAGTTTCTTGTCATGAATCGGTTACCGTTGCTCATCTCACCCTGTCCCCTCATCCTTTCTTCATGCATCCTCACTCTTTGCCCCTGGGCTCTCACCCTTGTCCTCTGGGCTCTCATCCTTGCCTCCTGTGCTCTCACCCTGCCTCCTGTGCTCTCACCACGCCGCCTGTGCCCTCACCCTGCTCTCTGTGCTCCCACCCTGCTCTCTGTGCTCTCACCCTGCTCCCTGTGCTCTCACCCGGCTCTCTGTGCTCTCACCCTGCTCCCTACGCTCTCACCCTGCTCCCTACGCTCTCACCCTGCTCCCTACGCTCTCCCCCTGCGCCACTACCAGTGCCAACCCGGGCTCGCGCAACATGCGTTCAGGTGCCGTGCGCAGGACCTCTCTCGCCTCTCACCCTGGTCCTCTCGCCTCTCACCCTGGTCCTCTCGCCTCTCACCCTTGTCATCTGCTCCCTGCGCTCCCCACTACCAGTGCGATCCCACACGCGCGCTACGTGCGCTCGGGTGTGTTTTGAGTCGACGCAAGCTCACCCTTTGCCACTGTGTTCTCACCCTTTGCCACTGTGTTCTCACCCTTTGCCACTGTGTTCTCACCCTTTGCCACTGTGTTCTCACCCTTTGCCACTGTGTTCTCACCCTTTGCCACTGTGTTCTCACCCTTCACCAGTGCCATCTCGGACACGCGCAACATGCGCTCAGGGGCTGTGCCGCAGGACCTCTCTCGCCTCTCGCACCTCGTGGAGTTGTGAGTCCCTCTTTCTTCCTATATGTGCCCTCACCGCCGTCCCTCCGTTTACATGCGCTCACCGCCCTTCCTTCTTTGACACGCCAAGGTTACGAATGATTTTTTAGTCGACTCAAAGCACACCAAGGTTCCGATTATGGTCGTTTTACTCTCTTGAGGACTACTGGAAATTTCTAGCTTGTTGGCCGTTTCTTACTTGCCACGCTGCCGCCCTGTTGTGGCTGGCATGGCACCATTGAGTGTCTCAATCTTGTTTCTCAGTCCGATGCCTCTCCTCTCTCGCTTGATTATCTCACTGTATCTGTCACACACATTCACATGACGCGACACAACCATGTGCACCCACACATCGCATGTGCAGTAAGGCAGGAGGGAACGGTCTCGTTGGCTTCCTCCCCGACTCATGGGCCTCCCTCACTGCCCTCACACTGCTGTGCGTCTTGCTTCCCTTGCACACACCGCACCACCCACCTTTCTCACCCACTCCCCTTGTCATCTGATCACCCGCTATCTGTATGTTAAAAATCAGAACCCACTCTTACCTTGATTTCTTACTTGCTTCTTCTTGCCCTCTCAACCAAACTAGTCTGCAGACTGCTGCAGCAATCCCCAACGCCTTTCTGCCTTCGCATTGCGCATGATTACTGACCGCTGAAGCCTCACCAACATCCAACCCTCTCCAACCCAGGGATCTCAAGGAAAACGGCCTACTGGGCTCCATCCCAAACGCCTTCTCCAACCTCCAGAGCCTCGGCACACTGTGAGCCACTTTCTGCCCTGCTGCTGCTGCCCTGCTTATTGACGCACCTGTACATGCCGTGGTGCTGCTGCTGCGCTGAGCTGCTGCTGCTGCCCTGCTGGTTGACGCACTCGCACATGCCAATGGCAGTATCTTGATTCAGAGTGACTTTTTAGTTGACCCAAAGGCACATGCCAGTGACTGTGCCTCTGATTCGAAAACCGCCACGGGATATAAGTGGAACATGATCTCTTCCGAACCTGATCCAATCTGAACGGGATTTATTCCCAACCACTCACCCACATCCGTACCTCGTGTCACTGCAGAGACCTGTCTCTCAACCAGATGAGCGGCTCGCTGCCCACCTCCTTCAGTCCCGCCCTTCAGTACCTGTCAGTACCCTGCCTGTTAATACCCTCGCCTGCCTGTTAGTGCCCTCTCCTACCTGTTAGTGCCCTCTCCTGCCTGTTAGTGCCCCTCCTGCCTGTCAGTGCCCGCCCACTGCCTTCTCCTGCCTGTCAGTGCCCGCCCACTGCCTTCTCCTGCCTGTCAGTGCCCGCCCCTTGCCTCTCACATGGTGTCAGTGCCCTCTCCTGCTCTCAGTGCCCGTCAATGTCACATTCTCTGCCCGCCATTGCTCCCAGTGCTTCACCTCAACCTTCTACCCCGCGTCCCTCTCTCCCACCTGCCTACTCTCCTCTCTCCCTCCTGTCTTCTATCTCCCGTCCCCCCCTTCCTGCTCCTATACCCCCTCGCCCTCCTCCCGTCTCCCTTTTCCTGCTCCTATACTCCTACCCCCTCCCATCTTCTCGTCTCCCCCCCTTTCGTCCCTCCGCTCTCTCCCCTCCCTCCTCCCTTCTCCTTGTTCTGTCCAGCTGGCTCAACGACAACCATTTCCAAGGCTCCCTGCCATCTGCCCTCAGCAGTCTGTCATCTCTCTTCTCACTGTAAGCCTGCGTACCATCCCCGTTCATGTCCCGGTGTCACTAACTAGCATAACGTGAGGGACTCAGCTGTAATACCTTCTTATGCCATCATAAGCGGCACAGTAAAGTGCCATTGCAGGAAAACTAGAGGGGCGTCTGTTGTTGTAGCATTTGAATGCTGCCTTTTGGTGCTTGTCGATTTCCCTTCGCCCTGTGCTTCTGCGCGCCCCTTGCCAGGAAGCTGGGTACCAACCGCCTTACCGGATCAATTCCCAAGGACTTCACAGGGCTCGTGGCCCTCACAGAGTTGTGAGTTCCAGTTATTTCCACCGACGGTTTTGAGGCGCCGCAAAAATTGTTCCAGTCACTTCAATCAATGGCCAGCTGTGTTTGCAGACATGCTCTCCTGCTGGTCCCCCCTTGCCTCCTTTCTTAGTCCCTTTCGTATTTCATGCCTGGTGATTCGCATGCCTGGTGATTTGCATGCACATTCATTCTTCCCTTTGTCTTGCCTCTAAGATGTACATGCTTGATGCACTGCCTTCCTGCCATGAGTCTATGCTTCACACGCATGTATAGAGCTCCAGTGGTTGAGGTGGCCAGCACGAACACACACAAATCAGAGAGACACGCACATGCCCATGGCCATGGCCATGCACATGCACAGTCACATGCACATGAGATATTATCCCAGAGTTGATTGAAGGTGTGTGTGCATGTGTGCGCGCGCGCGCGCGCGTGTGTGTGTGTGTGTGCGTGCGTGCGTGCGTGCGTGTGCGTGCGTGCGTGCGTGCGTGCGTGCGTGTGCGTGCGTGCGTGCGTGCGTGCGTGCGTGCGTGCGTGTGTGTGTGTGTGTGTGTGTGTGTGTCTGTGTGTGTGTGTGCGGCCATGTGGTGCTGTGGCTGGGCATGGGCAGGTCGCTGAGCGTCAACCAGCTGTCAGGAGGGCTTGAAGTCATCGCCAACACGCCATCTCTCAACACCATGTGAGCCCCGTGCATTCTAGGGCATCAAATGAGCCATATTTGCACTGGTCCCATTGGGCTTAGAAAAGAGTCGTGTTAGCACTGGTCCAACTCTCCAGCCGCCATCTGGAGTGCCCACCTCCCAGACAGGTCTTTCCCTCACCCTTACCCTCCTGCCTTTTCTTTTCCCACTCCACTCCCGCTCTCACTCGTTCCCGTTCTCCCGCTCTTTTCCTCTCCCCTTTTCGCCCTCCCGCTCGTCCCCCCAGTGAAATGGGTTCCAACAATTTCTCGGGGTTGCTGTCTGCGGAGTTCTCCAATCTCGCCTCTCTCTTGAGCTTGTCAGTAACATGCATCCGTGCACCGGCTTTTGGGAGTTCTCAAAAGTGTCAGTATCATGCATTCGTGCACCCGCACACTCATGCACGCCTTACTGCTGCAGCCTCAAGTGGATGGCACTGACTGAAAGCCACGAATATCCAAGCCACTGATGTTAGATTATTTTTCAGCTGTGGGTTGTGTGCTGCAGGGACGTCCTGGGGGGCGTACTATTACCTAGAGTTTTTGTCCTATCCACTCTCCGTTCACCCCACCGCGCAAACCCGGCAGCGAGGTTAATAACAACAGCCTGTCAGGAGGGCTTCCGCCAGTGCTTCTGGACCTCACCGCACTCATAGGACTGTACGTGTGCTGTGCTGCCAGCCTGTCACTCACGTGTGCTGCCAGCCTGTCTCTCACATGTGCTGCCAGCCGAACACTCACGTGTGCTGCCAGCCTGTCACTCACATGTGCTGCCAGCCTGTCACTCATCCCATCCACGTCAGACAGGCCATCCCTTCTTCCACACATCCCATGTGTTTCCCTCTTTTCTCCACTGACCCCCTGCTTTTCTCACCGCGCCTAGTGTCCAACCCCGTACTCTCGTCCTCCCCAATCCATTCTTCTCCTCCTCTCGAATGACATCCTCTGCTCCTCATCCCCACCTCCTCATTCCCATTCCTCTGCGGCAGTGACTTGTCATACAACAGACTCCAGGGGTCCATTCCACTCGCCCTCACCAAGCTCACCAATCTGCAGTTTCTGTGAGTGTGCTGTGTACGTGCGGTCATCATTCTGCTGTGACGTGACGTAGCACTCCGTGACTCTCACCTCTCCCTGTCTCGGCTATACCTCCCTCCCCTCCTCTTCCTCTCATTCCGGCGATCCCTCCCTCACCTGCTCACTGCCTCCTGCATCCGTCCATGCGCCCCTCTTTCCTTCCATGCGTCCATCCTTCCTCTCATCCGTCCATGCGCCCATCCTTCCTCTCATCCGTCCATGCGACCATCAGGCATTTGGAGCACAACCAATTCTCCGGGGAGGTGCCGGCCTTCCTCTTCCAATTCCCCGCACTCGTAGAGCTGTGCGTCGAATCCCTCTCTCTCAACCTCCCTCTCGTCATCCCTTCCTCTTGCCATCCAACCCTCTCACCGTACCTCCCTCCCACCACGAGCTTCTGTTTTTTCCCGTTTCAATATGTTGCACCGCTGACCCATGCGTCGTTGTTGTTCGCCGCCCCATCACTCACTCACTCACCTCGCAGCTTCCTATAATAAGGCTTGCTGTGATTCTTGAGTCGACTAAAAGAACGACCCATCCCTCACCACTCACCTAGCTATGGGAAGAAAAGACAACGTGCATCTCCCCATCTCTCCGGTCACTCCTCCTGTCCTGCCCCTTTCAACTCTTCCGTCTATTGACCCTGCATGCCATATTGTCACAGTGCCATTCAATCTTAAAAAGTGCGCTGTCTGTGCACTCTCCCATGCTGAGTGTGCACTCTCCCATGCTGAGTGTGCACTCTCCCATGCTGAGTGTGCACTCTCCCATGCTGAGTGTGCACTCTCCCATGCTGAGTGTGCACTCTCCCATGCTGAGTGTGCACTCTCCCATGCTGAGTGTGCACTCTCCCATGCTGAGTGTGCACTCTCCCATGCTGAGTGTGCACTCTCCCATGCTGAGTGTGCACTCTCCCATGCTGAGTGTGCACTCTCCCATGCTGAGTGTGCACTCTCCCATGCTGAGTGTGCACTCTCCCATGCTGAGTGTGCACTCTCCCATGCTGAGTGTGCACTCTCCCATGCTGAGTGTGCACTCTCCCATGCTGAGTGTGCACTCTCCCATGCTGAGTGTGCACTCTCCCATGCTGAGTGTGCACTCTCCCATGCTGAGTGTGCACTCTCCCATGCTGAGTGTGCACTCTCCCATGCTGAGTGTGCACTCTCCCATGCTGAGTGTGCACTCTCCCATGCTGAGTGTGCACTCTCCCATGCTGAGTGTGCACTCTCCCATGCTGAGTGTGCACTCTCCCATGCTGAGTGTGCACTCTCCCATGCTGAGTGTGCACTCTCCCATGCTGAGTGTGCACTCTCCCATGCTGTGTGTGCACTCTCCCATGCTGAGTGTGCACTCTCCCATGCTGAGTGTGCACTCTCCCATGCTGAGTGTGCACTCTCCCATGCTGAGTGTGCACTCTCCCATGCTGTGTGTGCTCTCTCCTGTGCTGTATCCTGATCCAGGTACCTCTCAGACAATCATTTCCAAGGCAGCATTCCTCAAAGCCTCGATGCCAGTACCACGCTTGGCACTCTGTGAGTGCTGCTAAGCGTGCTGTGAGTGCTGCTAAACGTGATGTGAGTGCTTCTCAGCGTGCTGTGAGTGCTGCTAAGTGTGCTGTGAGCACTGCTAAGTGTGCTGTGAGAGCTAAATATTGCCCGTTGTGTGTTGGCACTCATGCTCTGCTCTTACTACTGCTATTGAGCACAGCTGCTTTGATGCCTAGTGCCTTCTTACCTCCTCGCCTCCTTCACTTCTCGCCTCCTTTCTCCCTTCTCATTTCCCTGCTTCCCTGTGCTGGTGTTTGTGCCAATCCCATCGTGCCCTTGTACTGTCTGCCTCAACTCCCCCCCTCTCCCTTGTTCAACACCCTCCCATTGCGCCCATGCTCGCCTCGCAGCAATCTAGAGGGCAACTCGTTCAGTGGTCCTCTGCCTGACTTCGCCCAGTGGAACACCAGCCTCACCGCTCTGTACGCCTCTGCACCGTGCAGTAACGTCGTCCACTCTCTTCAAACACATAGGAGCTTTCTCTCTGCTCTGCACCCATCTGCACCGCATCCCTGCCTCACCTCCCTTCTTCCGTTCTCTTATCCGCTTCTCTTTGCCCTCCCTTCTGCGAGCTTTCTTACCTCATTTTGGTTCACTGAGAATGTTGATGTGGTCTGAGTGCTGTGGTGTTATTCCTGAAATTTCTTGGAAGTGGCTGCTGAGAAATTTTGAATGTGCACACGCAGGGGAACGCCTCTCAGAGCATCAGTTTGCTGTGGTGTGCCCCAATCTACCATAGATATCTTGGTTTCAACAATTTCACTGGCTCCATTCCTGACTCGCTCACTACAATCACGTCCCTCATTGCCATGTAAGCCATTGCCGCAGGCTATCCACTGCAAAATGCAAGGCGTGGCAGAATGTATGGCATGAGTGACGAGCAAACAGCTTGAGCATACTTGCTATGGGAGGTGCATTCTGCCATGAGCTCTGCTGCCGTCCCTTGCAGTAACCATCATCGTCACCCTGTCAGTGTGGTAACTGCCACTTTAACCGTCGGTGTCTGTCACGTGTTACGGGCCATGTCAGATGTCTTGTGTGGACTCTATACTCCATGCTTGATTCTGTATGCTCTATGCTCCATGCTCTACGTTCAATGCGATATGCTCCATGCTCCATGCTCAGAGGTCCATGCTCCGTTCTCTATGCACTGTGCTCCGTACTCGCCGTGCTGCAGCACTCTTCAGTTCAATCAGCTGTCTGGCAGCATTCCAACTTCTCTTTCGGCTCTCACGAACCTGAACACAATGTGAGCAGGCGTGTGGGCTCTCACCGTCCTGCACACAATATGAGAAGGCATGTGCGTGCCATGTGAGCAGGCATGTGTGCTATGTGAGAGTGTGTGTGCCATGTGTGCCATTGCGCCAAACCCGTTTGCACCCAACGCCATTGCACCCAACCCCTATTGCTCCCAACCCCCATTGCTCCCAACCCCCATTGCTCCCAACCCCCATTGCTCCCAACCCCCATTGCTCCCAACCCCCATTTCTCCCAACCCCCATTTCTCCCAACCCCCATTTCTCCCAACCCCCATTTCTCCCAACCCCCATTTCTCCCAACTCCCATTGCTCCCAACTCCCAATGCTCCCCCATTCCTCCCCCACTGCTCCCACCTCCTTAACTCCCCATCTTATGTCGACCGTGCAGATGGCTGGCAGGCAATCAGCTCTCAGGCACTATCCCTGACTTCTTTGCATCCCTCTCAAACATGCGACAGCTGTGCGTTCTTTCCCGTCCCTCCTTCCCGCCCCACCTCACTGCTTCTCTCCTCTCCATTCCCCCTGCCAACCCACACACAACACACACCCTTCTGAGGTAACATCTTCTCTGCTCTGCTCCACCGTTCACCCTTCTGAAACGTGTCCAAATCCTCTGTGTCGATTTTTCTTTCCCAACGCTTGGTTGGACCCTGAAGCGAGTAACCCTAGGAAAGTGATAGAACCGAGCGCGAATGTACTACTCTATAGTGCCACTGTACCGCGAAACAAAAAGTTTATGAACTTGGGGTCAAGCGTGTGAATCTACGCAAACGAGCCGTAGGGTGCTCCTATGAAGAAATGTACCAAGTCGCGTTGTTCGGGGGGCCGCACGAAATTGATGCCCAACCAGAGACTCTCGCGAAAACTGCGAGACTCCCACCTGAGATCTGGCGACTCCCACCTCCGTAACTTGTCGTGTCGCCAGAGACTCGCCAACTTAGGTGTTGCACGTGTCGATTCCCACCTCCATAACATCAATGCAAATCTTGGACCTCGGTTCTCAACTTACAAGTTTAACACCATGAACCTCCTTTGAACCTGCAAAACGACCCCACGACAGATTCGACCTCGTTTTACACATGATGCACCACGTCCTTACCCTTCTTCACCTTTCCCTCACGATTCCTTCCACCTGCCCTTGTATTGGCTCGCACCACCCCTCGCCTCCTCCCCTCCTCGCCTATGCTAGAATGCTGGATGACAATCAGATCTCGGGCTCTCTGCCAGCCTCCTTCTGCAATCTGAAGCGACTCGAGTACTTGTGAGTTAGGGGTATGGCCCTTTACGACGAGCATTGGAATGGGGCACGCTGCCTCCTATGGTGCATGTGCTTTCATGATTCGTGCTTTTTTTTCCTCCTCCCTCGTTGCTTCTTTGTGCCAGTAGAGACCAGATTCCCTCTTCTTCCCATTCCTGCCCCTCCTCTGCTCTCTCCGCAACCCCTCGCCAGCAGGGCATGCAGCAACGCACCCAGGTTCCCACGTGCTTCAAACTCCTGACACCCTGCCAGTCCTTTCCCTCTTTTCCCCCACCCTTCTCCTCCCGTCTCCTCTCCTCCTCGCCTCTCCCTGCCACCAGTGGCGTGCGCAGCAACCGCATGTACGGGCCGCTGCCGCGCTGCATGTTTGACTTCCTCGGACTCAACTACCTGTGAGCGCGCTGCATGTTTGACTTCCTCGGACTCAGCTACCTGTGAGCGCGTTGCTTCTTTGAGTGCCACATTCCTATGAGCGTTCAACTACCTGTGTGCACAGTGCTCCTTTGTGTGCCCCGTACTCCCTTCATTCCTTGCTGATTCCCTAGAGTCCTAGACACATGCAACGGCCACCATGCTCTGCCCTGCCCTCTACTCCTCAGCCTGCCAATTCCTTGCTTTATCCGCTCCCTCCCACTCCTCCCCCCAACAACGTGCGCAACAATTTTGTATAACGGCACGATAAACCGCGACTTCAAGTAGATGAGCAACCAGCCAAAGTCAAAGCCACAAGTCATCCACTCCCGTCAAAGCCTCTCCCCCTCTTCCCGCTCCCCTCCCCCCTTAGCGACGTGCGCAACAACTCCTTCTACGGCACAATAAACCGTGACTTGAAGGGCATGAACAACCAACCCACAGTGCAAAACCCCAACCCCGCCGCGCTCAACCTGGCGTACAACTATTTCTATGGGGAGCCCTTTGTGTACGCTGCCGGCAGTATGATCTGCCCCACACCCGTCGTTCGTACCGTCGACTACCACGATATTGCCTCCATAGGGGCGACCGCAGGCGGGGTGGTGGCGGCAGATTCCTCTTCCGGGCGGCAGGAGTATCGGGTCTCCGTGGCGTACGAGAAGGGCCAGGCGAGCCTGCTGCAGAACTGCCTGGCGGTGCGCGGCGAGGCGGGGTGCCTCGTGAACGAGACTCAGCGGGCGCCAGAGGAGTGTGCGGCGTTCTGCAGCATCACGGAGAGCGGCGTGTGCAACGGGTTGGGGGACTGTGTGCCGCCTGAGCCGGGGAGCAGCGGGCAGGGCTTCACGTGCCTATTCCACTGTGCCTGCTGCCAACGGCAATGGCTCCTCCTGTGCCATACAGTCCACCACGTCCTGTGAGTGGCTCTCGGTTGCGTGTTTGCAACAGCTCTCATTATGCGTGAGAGGACTCACCTGTCTACGCAATGCATCTCATTTGCCACCCTCTCTCCGTTCCTCATCCCATCCGTCTGTCTCGCTCACCTCCCCGCTCCACAGCACTATCCACGGGGCCCATCGTGGGCATCGCAGCGGGGTGCTTCATGGGGCTCGCTCCAATGGTGGCCATTGGCCCATTTCCCATCACTCTCTTCCCCTCATCCTCCCTCTCACCCCTCCCCGCAGCGCTGTCAACGGGGGCGATAGTGGGCATTTCCGTGGGGTGCTTTACGGGACTTGCTCTCATTGCCGCTGTGGTTGTCATCATGCTCCGCAAGAAGAAGAGGCGTGAGTGCTGCCCTTCTGCCTGCTCTTTCATGCTTTGTATCGACTGTCACGTCACGCTGCCTGCAGCTGGGCTTATGAACGTCACCTGCCCCTATGTCTCTAGGGAAAAGCTGCATGCTTGGTATCACTACCATTTATCTCGACTCCTAGGCCCCACTCCCCCGTTTCCTCACATCCTCCGAACCGAAGGCTCTCTTCTTCCCAGGAAGTTGGGATGACCTGGATGCGTGTTTGAAGATTTCGATTGAGGTTCGAGTTGTCTGTTGCCCGCACTCGGAGAGTTCTGCAATGCCACGGCTCAACACTCATCCTTTTCTCATCCCCCTCCCCGCTCCCCCTCATCACACTCCCTCCTTCTCTCCCTTCCCACTCTCCCTCTCCGCCCTCCCTCAGGCCGGTGGGATGACCTGGACGTGTGTCAGGAGTTCTCCATAACCACGATGCACAAAGCCCTCATGTCCGCCTCTCAATCCCCTCTAACCCTCCCTTCCTTCTCCCACACGCGCTTCCAACTCTCCCTCCCCACCCCGCCCTCCCAACCTCTCCTCTCCCCAGGCCGATGGGATGACCTGGATGTGTGTCAGGATATCTCCATTGCCACGATGCGCAAGGCCACCAACGACTGGGCGGAGGGGAACGTGCTGGGCGAGGGGGGCTTTGCTGTCGTCTACAAGGGCGTCAACCCGGCTAACGGGCAGCTCTGGGCCATCAAGAGGCAAACGCTCATGTCTAACGACTTTGAAATGGAGGTGAGGAGGACTGTAGCGAGTATGGGGTGCGCGTTGTGTACTCATGTCAACCCCCAGGGCACGAACCAAGCGCACTACCTCCTGGGGCGTCACTGTGTGATGAGTCTATCTGTGAGCCGTCTAAAAAATAGAACCAAGCGCACTACTCCTGGGGCGTCATGGACTCTCTCGCCCTCACCTTTTCCAGTGCCACGAGATCTGTAGGCTGCTTTCTCCCACGTGTTGGTTCAGCTGAATGTGTATGTCCCGCCTTCACGGCCGCATCCAGAAAGGTGGCAATGGTGTTCTCACTGCCGCTGACTGAAATTACGTTTGAGAATTCCAAAAAATGACCTCAACGTATGATATGATCCAGGCATTGCTGCTGCTGTAGAAGCAATTTGTCAGACGCTCACTTACCCTGGTGCGGCTTCTGTGTTTCTGATCTCTCAATACGTTTCACCTCTCATACCCTCCATACCTCCGCCCCAGGTGCGGGCGATGGCAAGTTTGAACCACAAGAACCTGGTGCGGCTGCTGGGGTTCTGCCTGGACATGAATGTGGAGAGCGGCAAGCAGGAGCAGATCCTCGTCTATGAGTTCGTGCCTCACCGTGACTTTCAGTACCACATCCACAAGCCCAAGCGTGAGTGCCACATCTGCAGAAACAGCACGAGTATTTCATTAAACAGAGCGTGAGAAGCTCACAGAAACGCCCGTGCTGTGAACATCAGCCATTTTTCCTCAAGCTCGCCATCCAGCCTCCTCTCCATCCAGCCTCCTCTCCATCTCCACCTCTTCCCTCCACTCTTTCATCCTCCTCCTCCCCGCTCCCCCTCTCTTTCCCCCTCCCCTTCCCAGGCCCGCTGAACCTGCGGCAGCGGTTGAAGCTGGCGGCGGGGGCAGCAGAGGGGTTGGCATATTTGCACGGCTTTGAGATCCCATCATTCACCGCGACATCAAGCCTGCTAACATCCTAGTTGGGGAAAACCTCACTGTGAGCCTCTATCCTCCAGGCCCTGGCCCTGCCATGCCACCACCTCACAGTGAGCCTCTAGCCGCTAACCTTAGAGCCTGTCGCCTTGCGTTGCCACTACCTCACCCTGAGCCTCGAGCCTCAAGATGCTGAAGATGGGGTTTGAGAGCATCCCCTAACATCCCCTCATTTTCCCCACTCCCCCCCTTCACTTTCCCCACTTCCCCTCTCTTGCCCACCTGCGACCCCCTCACAGGCAACGAGAGCAGACTTCAGGCTGCTCAAGACACTCTAAACTACCTCACCCGCCCTCCTCACTTTCTCCTCCTGCCCCCCCGAACCCTCTCGGGCAATGATAGCAGATTTTGGGCTGCTCAAGACGCTCAAGGCTGGGGATGAGAGTGCTTCAACCATCCCCGCACTCCCCTCCTTGCTTTCCCCCACCTTCCTGCGCTCCTTGCCTGCCCGCCCAGGCCAAGGTCGCAGATTTTGGGCTGCTGAAGACGCTCAAGGTTGGGGATGAGACGGCCACGAGGGTGGCGGGCACGCCAGGCTATGTAGACCCGGATTACAATCGCACCCAGATGGTCACCACCAAGAGCGATGTGTACAGGTGGGTGCTGGGAGTGCATCTTCTGAGAGCTGTGACTGGTAACACCCCACCAGTGTGTTGAGTGTGATGTGCTCAGCTCAACACAGCCATTCGCTCACAGCATTCTCGTGCATACCTCCACCTTGCATCCCATGCTGCCCCATGCCCCATGGCCCGTGCCCAATGCCTTGCACCCCAATTGACCCCATTCATAGCATCCACTGTCCCCTCAACGCCCTCGTCCGTGTACACCCTCTTACCCCTTGCATGCCACGTGTCAGTTTCGGGGTGGTGCTGCTGGAGATGCTGACAGCGCGCAAGGTCACTATGGGCGGCAGCTCCCACATCGGCAAATGGGTGAGTGTCACGTCAGCAGACTCCTGAGAATCAAATTGCAGCAAATCATCCACTGACACATCAGCATAGGACTTCACGGCGCATATTCTAGTCTGTGTTCTCTTATGCTGCTACCCTCTCCTCGCTTCCTTTCGTCCTTTCCCTTCCCCCGTCCCCTCCTCAGGCGATGGTGGCAGAATGCACACTGTACAACCTGAGGGAGAAGTTGCTAGAGATTCCCGAGGAGGCTATATTGGAGTGGATTGACCTGTTCTGAACCGCCTCAAAACTCAGCCCCCCCCTCCTCCCGCTCCCCCTCTTCCCCTCCTGCCCCTCCCCAGGCGAGCAAGATGGTGGCAGAATACACGCTGGACGATCTGCGGGACAAGTCGCTAGAGATTCCCGAAGAGGCCATTGTGGAGTGGGCTGACCTTGCCCTAGACTGCATCAAGGCGCCCGGCTCTCGCCGCCCGGAGATGAAGGACGTGGTGAGGCGCCTTGACCACCTGCTGCAAACCTACACGGAGGAGTATGAGGGCGAGAATGACCTTAGGGCGGTTGTTGATGGGTTGAGCAGTAGTGCAAGTGATGCGGGGTTGAGGTCGAGCCAGGCTGGCACGAGCTCAGCCGTTGGATCGGGGATGAGCTTCCCGTCTTCCGGGGTGATGCATTCATCGTTTAACAGCACGGTGCAGAGCGGTGTGATGAGTGGTATTGGCCCGGTGAGTGGTGTTGGCCCGGTGAGTGGTGTGAGCGAGGTATCTAGTAAGAGCGGGGTATCGGGTACGAGTGGGGCATCAGGTAAGAGTGGGGCAGCTGGCCCGAGCACTCGGTCCAAGCTGATGATGTCTGTGGCGTCTGCGCTGGGAATGAGTGAAGGGGAGATGGCGGGAGGGGAGGGCGGTGGGGATAGTGCTGTGATGCGGGACGCAGGCGGGAAGAAGGATGGCCACAGCCTTCAGAGCCTCTTGAGTGTGAAGGAGGTTGAGGGCCGATGAGTGGAGGAGGGCCGATGAGTGGAGGAGGGCCGATGAGTGAAGGGACAATGATGAGTGGAGGAATTGGGAGGGGGGGGTGATGAAGCCCTGGTGAAGGGAGTGGAAAGGTCAGGTGTGTACCGTATGTTCCGTTGTAGATAGGCTTATTGATTCCAGACCAGACCAGACCCCTCAGTTTATCATGGAGGCCTTACTCTCGCATCAGATTGTGTGTACTACCATGTATCATCGTCATCTCTTACCATTGGTTTGGGAACAGCAGCGGCAGTTTAGCCCTGCCTTTGGTAGCCCTGCCTTTGGTAGCTAGCACTGCATGGGCTAAGTAGTGCAAAATATAAGGTACGGTATGCAAGAAAAACTGCGCAGTGAATGAGCCGGGAGTTAATGGCTGTTCGTATATTGGATGTATCTATTGGATGTAAGCAACAGGACAGCTTGAGTGGCGAGTTAGATCCTCTAAACCTATATCAACCTGACTGCCCATACCGCATATTGTATTGGATGCATGCAGAGATGTATGTATGACCCTGTTCCACTCCAGCACATCTCACCAGTTGTGCATGTTCTGGCAATAAAGCATAGCACCAGTGCAGCAGCAGCTGTGGTCTAAGGCATCACAGGCACAGCCAACACTAACACCCCAAACTCATCTGTGCATCACCATGCCTATGACTCCCCCTACAATCCTTTGTGTTCATGCAGCATAGCTACTGGGTAGCATTGATTGTCGCTTTCCCCCTTCCACCCTTAGTCTATTCGCGCCGCCCTCCCAATGCTTGTTTGTATCGTCTACAGTGATAGAACATACAGCTAACCCCGTGTGATCCATGCACCCAGGTGCTCGGTCAGGTGCATGCTCAGGTGGTTGATCAGGTGCTTTTTGGAAGGGGAAGGAGGCTGCGTCAGGAGCATAGTGTGAGGATGAGGTGTGTGTTGGGAGGAAGGAGCCCATGGGGGGGTGAATGCCATCAGGGATGGTGAGAACGGCAGACCGGCTTTCTGAGCCCATGCTGCCGCTTCCGCTGCCGCTGCTGCTGCTACTGCCACTGGTGCTAGTGCTGCTGCTATTGCCGCTGACTGCACTGCTGCTGGAGCAACTGCTGCTGCTGCTAGAGCAAGCTTCCATGGAGTGCGGAGAGGGGACATGGTACGTGTTGTTTGTGTGGGGAGTGAGGGCGGTGGGGGTGGAGGAGCAGGAGGCAGGGGGCGAGACCAGGCCGCAGTGCTGCTGCTGGTTCTCCTCTATCGCCCTCTGCAGGGCGTCCTTGGCTATCCTCGTTATAAGCACAGTCGCCATGACTGCAGCAGCACAGTGGGAGGGGCAGGGATAGCAGGGCTGGCATGAGTGGGGTGGATGGATAAATGGATGGATGGATGGATGCAGTGTGGGGCAGATGCAAGGGATACGGGGATGCAGTGTGGGGTAGAAGGGACAGGAAGATGCAGTGCGGGGCAGATGAAAGGGACAGGGGGAAGCAGCATTGAGACTCACTGGTGACAGCAAGGCCGGCCCCAAGCATCCACTGCAGATTCACCATGCGGACAAGAACCAAGGGAGGCAGGGACAGGGGGAGGCAGGGAAGTGGGGAGGCAGGGAAGAAGGGACGAAGGGAAGGGATACACAGAGGTGATTGAGGTACGGGCACAGCTAAGGGAGAATGAGCCTAGACGCCACATGCAGCGCGACTTGGGTAGATGGTGGGATAGCACAGGCACTTCCCACAACAAAACCACATGGCTGTACATATGCACACTTCTCACAGATACGCACCACCCCCCCATAAGCACCACCCCCCCATAAGCACCACCCCCCCATAAGCACCCACCCCCCATAAGCACCACCCCCCCATAAGCACCACCCCCCCATAAGCAACACCCTCCCATCAGCAGCCCGCCATAAGCACCACTACCTCATAAGCACCACCCCCTCATAAGCACCACCCCCCCAAAAGCACCACCCCCCCATAAGCACCACCCCCCCATAAGCACCACCCCCCCATAAACACCACCCCCCCATAAGCAACACCCTCCCATCAGCAGCCCGCCATAAGCACCACTACCTCATAAGCACCACCCCCTCATAAGCACCACCCCCCCAAAAGCACCGCCCCCCCATAAGCACCACCCCCTCATAAGCACCAAACCCCCAAAAGCACTGCCCCCCCATAAGCACCATCCCTCCTACAAGCACCGCTACAGCCATAAGCGAACTGACCCATTGCGAGGCCCCAGCAGCTCCCGGGGATCCGATCTCCGAAATGTCCTTTATGGTCGTGCCCAGATATACGAAGGTGAATGTGATGGGCTGTGGGGGATAGAAGCACATTGGCACAGAGGGGAGAGACAAGGGAGAAGGAAGGGTACAGGTGAAGGAGGAGCTTATTTCTGAGCGAAGGGATGAGGGATGAGGGATGAGGGAAGGGGGAGAGGAGAGGCAAGAGAGGGGAGCGGGAGAGGCATTGTTGGGGAGGGGGAGAGACAAGGGAGAGACACTGATCCTCATGCTTGATTCTCATGCTTGATCCTCATGCGTTCATGCATTGCACATCCCTGCACCCACCATCATGCCGATCCAGGAGGCGAGGACGTAGGAGGAGAGGCTGATGGGCGTGACGGAGAGCACGTAGTTCATCACGTTGAATGGCAGGATGGGCACCAGCCGCAGCAGCAGCACTATCTGTGAGGGGGGCGGGAGAGTGTGAGGGGGCGGGAGAGTGTGAGGGGACGGGAGAGTGTGAGGGGGCGGGAGAGTGTGAGGGGGCGGGAGAGAGTGAGGGGGCGGGAGAGTGTGAGGGGGCGGGAGAGTGTGAGGGGGCGGGAGAGTGTGAGGGGGCGGGAGAGAGTGAGGGGGCGGGAGAGTGTGAGGGGGCGGGGGAGTGTGCGGGGGCGGGGGAGCGTGAGGGGGCGAGGGAGCGGGTGATAGGGTGATAGGGTGATAGGGTGATAGGGGGCGAGATAGTTTTCAGATGATAGGGAGAGAGGTGGCTGAGAAACTCGTACTTTAAGCGGCAGAAAAGCAGGGGAGTGGGGAGCAGGGGGTGAGTGGGAAAGTGGGAACAATTGACGGAGGAGAGTGGAGAGTGTGTGTGGGGGGGGGGAGGAGGGGGGGGGAGGAGGGGGGGGGGGGAGGGGGGTAGACGGGGAGGGGAGGAGACGGGTTGGTTGAAAGAGATGGGGAGGAAGGAGAGGAAAGCAGGTAGTGGGAAGTAAGTGGAGGGGGGCGGGTGTGACCTTGAATCCGGATTTGGAGATGGCGTGCGCGACTGGCTGGAACTGTGGGTACTCCTTGAGCTTTGCTGACACGTATGACCGCCCTATCTGCACCGAACGAGGCCATCGGGAGCCGGGCGGGCAATGGAGGGTTGGCGGGAAAAGGGCGGGGAGGCGGGAATGGGTGGGGTGCGGAGCATGGGACGGGTGTGGAAAAGCGGCGGGGCGGTGGAACAAGGCTGTGAGGCAAGAAGTTACCAAAGGAGCCGACGAAGGACGAGGCGACATATGGAAGGGACGCAAGAGAGAGGGCGTGGAAGCAAGACAGGGGGTTGTGGGAGAAAGAGAGGGGGATGCGGGAACAAGGGAGGGGGTTGAGCAAGCAAGAGAGGGGGTTGTGAGCTGAGCACAATGAGATTCGAACAGCGACGGGCGAGGGACGCACGGTTTTGCCGACGAGGAAGGCGGCGGTGGCGCCGGCTGTGGAGCCGAGCGAGTCCGCCACGAAGCCCACCAGCAGCCCGAACACGTAGCCCCCGCCCAGCTGCGCGCATGAGGACGAGGGGAGGGGATGGGGGTGAGGGGAGAGGAGGGGGGCGCGGAGGGACATAGGGACAGCGGAGGGGGCGGAGGGGGCAGAGGGGGCAAAAGAGGGGACAGTAGGGGCAGTGGAGGGGGGGCAGATGAAGGGAGAAAAAGAGGAGAGGCATGCGGCACGACGCTCCTTCAGGGCACGTCCGTGTCGCGTTGAGATACATGACGTTCGTAGCATAACGAAGAGTGGCCTGCTCGCACTAACAACTAGGAAAAAAAAATCTCGTGTATGTCAGTTGCTTACAGTGAGGATAGCGCCTGGAAGTGCGAGGATATTGAGTGGTATATAAGCGAGGGCCCTGAAAGGGGGGAAGGAATGAGGAGTCGGGGAAGGAGAGAAACGAAGCTGAGCGGCCCGTGAGGGAGCAACGGGACGCGATTCAGAAATGATTTGCGTTCAAAGAAAAAAAAAATGGTGAATTTCAAAGACTTAGCAACCGCATTTCGAAAGGGGAATTGTTACAAACGGAGATTGTTACGAGGGGGGTCGTTGCGACGGGGATTGTTGCGAGGGAAAGTGTTACGAGGACAACTGTGAGGAGGAGAAGTAAGGAGTAGTGGCACGTACATGATGACGGGACCCCACACGCCCACGTCGTTCTTGAGCCAGAGGAGAAAGCTCTTGAGCAACTGGAGGGAAGTGGGGGGTGGGGGGGGGGGGGAGAGGAAAGAGGGGAGGGGGTGGTAGAGCGATGGCCGGGAGATATGAGGAGGAGAGAGAATTGTTCGTCCATCCTTGATGTGCGCTGCACCGCTGAACCGCAGGAAGACCCCTCAACGGGTAACTGCGTGTTTCTTAATGGACCGCTGCCGGCGCTAAGAATACTGTAAATAATTTGGATCAAACATATGAAAAGCTCAATCAGCACAACCACTCGGCGAGACGACCCGTACCTGCTCGACGTTGATTGCGACAAGGCCCACAACGACGAATCCTATAACGAGGATGGTGTAGAAAACCCGCTTGAGCGAGATTCCCGCCATCGCGGTTCGAAGCAACGAACCGATCATAGCCCCTCCGTCGACCTTAGACGATAAACTACGCGCAATCCTTCCTAAGCGTCGATGTGGTGGTAATTGTGTGGATGGATGGCTAGGATGCGACGACGCTGCTCCATGCTGCTGGCAGTGCCGAAGGCCCTGGTGGGTGTTGGTCCGCGGAGTTACAGATGTCGACACTTGATTGGAGGACGTCACATGATTAGATTTTGCGGACGAATACGGGTTCGATTCATTGGGTGGTGAGCCTGGCGCTGAAACAGTCACAATCGGGGATGCTGACGTGGACGGGCTTATGTTCTGTGCTGTTGCCAGCGTTGCCGTGTTGGCGTCAGCAACCACTGTCGATGACGCGGATGCCTGTGCTTCTCCGCCATTTCTACTAACGAACATGATGGTAGTGGCAGAACGACCTGGTGCGGGACTAGAGTGTATTCGAATGGCAACGAGAGAGAGCTCTTAACGTTCCACAATTAGAAAGCCTGCTTCGCGAGTAAACTTCGCACCTAACGTAGAACTATACCGCTGCCAAGCAGGGAAGTGCTCGACAGGATGACGGACAGGAACTACAGCCAGCCGTTAATTCCAGGATTATTCGTGGAGCATAGTAGCGTACAATTGCCAGAGAGTGAGCTAATTGTAGAATGAAGTCGTCGACTGTAGAGTTCCCAGTAGGCATAGCCTCACATATCTCACATACCCACCGCCGCTCCACCGCGCACCTGCCTTCCGCCCTGTTTCGGTCTGCGGTGATCTCTAGGGTTGCGCTTGCGCACGAGTTTGAGCAGACGAGTTGCTTGTTCCCCCCATTCACGCGCCTGCGTGGGGGCACTGGGGGCAGTCCGCCTCACATCACACTGCCACCTGCTACGCAGTCTGGTTTGGGGGAGGTCGGAGCGCATGTCAGGACTTGGTTTGTGTCTAGCCAGCTGCCCCAGGGCTCCGCTTCGGTCTGTCGGATTCGGTCCAGTGAATTCAGTGTGATATCCATACCACTGGATTTGGCTCGGCAGGCCGAGATGAAGTGAAAGGTGATCGTGAAAGACCTAGGCGTTGTGTTGTGATCCAAGCTGGACCTGGGAATCATCCCCCCAGCACGCTCCAACAGCCAGGGACGATGTTTTTCCGTGTGCTGTATGTAGGTCGTCGGTGGTTAGGGGGCTGACGTGTACATGACGTTTTCACCTTTCTGATTGGCCAAACGAGCCAGAGGCTTGAGTTTGGCTGTTTGCGAGCTCGAAGCAGGAGAAGCAAGGGTTGAGTCAGTAACTGTATTTTTTACTTGCTCTAAGATACACATACTGTATGAACCCGATCACTCCAACAAAGCCATCCGTAATCTTAGGCATGGTACACTACACGCATATTCACAACACAAATTGGCGGTATTTCGTGCAATCTAGGCAATATGCACTGAAAGCAGACATCAAGCAGGAACTGGCTCTGGCACCAACCCATTGTGTCGAAGCAGGGGCTCAATTGATGGTTGCCTTCCTCGGAACTCAGCAAAAACCTGCACAGCACAACCAAACATACAATGATTTACATGTAAGTTTCCCAGCTGGAAAAAGGGACACGTGTGAGACTCAGCTTGTACACCTCGTGGGCACATGAGACCTCACTACATGGGCACAACACTTCAGTCCTGAATACTCACATCCTTGGCAGCAGCACCTCCCCCAAGAGCCAGCACTGTGTCTCTGAACTTGTGCCCTGTTGCCTTCACCGCCTGCTCATGAGGCGCAACGGGGAGGAGCAAGAAATGCGTAAGGAACAGAAAGACACCGCGGTGAAGGATAGCGGAAACATGACATGGACACACAGGAGGGCACCGCACGCGGAATAATCATGCATGGAGTGGAGCTACTGCTATGGCCATGCCCTGCCCAATCCCTAGCACACTTCCCTGCCCAACCCAGGCAGCTCTGCTCCGTGTCTCATCTCGTCGTCATCCAGCCCCATGCCTCACCTCATCATCATCCAGGCCCGCCTCCTCAAACGCTGCAAAGGCATCAGCTGACAGCACCTCCGCCCACTGAAAATCACAGGAGGAAACAAGTGGCAGGGGAAGAGGAGGGGGTGGATAGGGGAAAGTGTGATCAAAATGAGTTTGACATTTTCCAAGTAGCTGCACAAGGCTTGTTCTGTACGATCAGGATAACCACTTTCCCTACCCACTGCAGTGATGGCAAGCTTACGAGCCTGGCATCCACCACGTTTGGGCAAAAACAGGGTGTAAAAGCTGTATTCGTAATGCATTCCCGTTATAAGCCCCACCTTGTAGCTGTAGTAGCCGACGTCGTAGCCACCGGCGAAGATGTGGAGGAAGGAGCAGAGGAAGCGGTCGGAGGGCAGGGGGGGCAGCACGAGCATGCGCTCGGCCACGCGGCTGTTCACATCGTAGATGGACTCGTTGCCCTCGGGGTCAAACGAGCAGTGCAGCTCCAGGTCCACCGCTGCGAAGTGCAGCTGGTGAAGGGGGGGAGGGGGAGTTGTGGGGCGGGGAGAGAGGAGAACACAGCAAAAGGTAGGATTGGAGGAGGAGGTGTGGGGCGTGTACATGGCACATGGTCATGGAGGTGGCTTTTGGAAGCGAAGAGGTATGTTGTGTACCTGGAGCCGAGAGGCAAGGAGGTAGCGTTGGGTGTACCTGTCGCATGGTCATGGTGGCGGAGCGGAAGTTCTTAGCCGCCACGATCTTGTTGTACAGCTCCTCTGGCAGCACCTCGCCTGTCTCATAGTGCTTTGCGATGCCCAGCAGCGTGGCTCTGGTGGACGCAGAGGGAGAGGGAGGGAAAGGAGGGCTCTCCAGTGAGCATGATACACTTAGCGGCCACGATCTTGTTGTACAGCTCCTCTGGCAGCACCTCGCCCGTCTCATAGTGCCGCGCTATGCCTAGAAGCGTGGCTCTTGTGGGCGCAGAGGGAGAGGGGTTGTAAGGGGGGTTTCTATAATGAGTACACTTCACTTGAAGCAGGATGGCAGGATGCGAGGAGATGAGCAGATGGCAGACCAGCAGAGGGGCGGATACTGCAAAACGAAGCACAACCACATGCAGCGGTGGTATCACACAGACGACACCTGCAGCATTACCAGCACGAAACAGTACCTGTGGTAGCAGCACACACGCACCTGTGGTAGCACCAGTTCTCCATGAACTGAGAGGGCAGCTCCACGGCATCCCACTCCACGTTGCTGATCCCCGCCACCAGCCCCTCCTGCTGTCTCGTCAACATGTGCTGCAACGCGTGCCCGAACTCATGAAACAACGTCTCCACCTGCCATCCCCAACGGGGCAAGGGCGCCGTTGGGAGGGAGGGTTGGGGAAGGGGGGGAGTAGGGAGACGGAGGGGGCGGGAGGGGAGGGAAAATAGCCAAAAAAAAAAAAAAAAAAAAAAAAAGGTAGGGGTTATGGGGAGGGGGAGGAACGAAGGAGAAAGAGGGAATGATTCCCAATCACAAGCATTACGCCATCCACAGATCTCCTCAACGGTCATGACCGTCCATGGTCATACCTCATTGAAGGTCATGAGGCTGGGCTTATCGCCCAAGGGGGGCGTCTGGTTGCACACAATGTGCGTGACAGGCAGGCGGGCGGCAGCGCCAGGGGCGGCAAAGAGGCCGCTGCGGTTGCAGATGCCATCCATCCAGGCACCGCTGCGCTTCTCCGCCGGGCGCGAGTAGGGGTCCAGGAGGAAGGACGCCACGGTGTTGCCAGAGGAGTCAGTCACCTTGTAGTACCGCACGTCTGGGTTCCACGTCTGGAGAGGTGTGGGGGGAGGGAAAACGGAAAGGAGGGTAATAAGGAGGGAGACTTGTGATATTTTTGACTCTATAAGAATGCCCCTGAGGAACCAGAGGTGTCGGTGACCTTGTAGTAACGCACGTCAGGGTTCCACGTCTGGAGAGGTGGGTTGGGATGAGGGAGTAAGTGATGGGAAGACTTTCAAGTCGTCTTGAAGGTCACAACAGTGGAGTGCTGTTCTTTCAATAAAACTACAGACAAGCATGGGCAGTGGGCCACACGACAGAGTACAGGTGCTTCCTCGCCACCACCCACAAGCAACCAGCCAGCAGCCCTAGGAACCTTGTTCTTACCGGTGCCTCCCCGTCAGCAGGCTGGAAGGAGACATCAAAGAGGCGTGAGGCGAGCTTGAAGAGCCCGTCAATGACAACGGGGAAGGAGAAGTAAGGGCGCAGCTCCTCCTGCGTCAGCTCGTACCGCGCCTCCCTCAGCCGCTCGCCCCAGAACGTCACGTCCCACTGCCGCAGGTCGTCCGCCTCCTCTGCGCCCTGCTCCTTGGCGAACGCCTTGAGCTCCTCGTGCTCTGAAGCAATACGAGATGGTGGAGGAAGGAGTTGAACCAGAACAGCCTTTTGAGGCGCCTCAAAAGTGGTGGAGGAAGGAGTTGAACCAGAACAGCATGATGCGGCATGTGACTCGCAAGTCTGATTCAACCACCCACAATCCCTCGTTTCACATCCAAGCCTGGCGTTTCTACGTTCCAGCATGTCACTTCAACCAGCATGTCACTTCAACCAGCATGTCACTTCAACCAGCATGTCACTTCAACCAGCATGTCACTTCAACCAGCATGTCACTTCAACCAGCATGTCACTTCAACCAGCATGTCACTTCAACCAGCATGTCACTTCAACCAGCATGTCACTTCAACCAGCATGTCACTTCAACCAGCACGTCACTTCAACCAGCACGTCACTTCAACCAGCACGTCACTTCAACCAGCACGTCACTTCAACCAGCACGTCACTTCAACCAGCACGTCACTTCAACCAGCACGTCACTTCAACCAGCATGTCACTTCAACCAGCATGTCACTTCAACCAGCATGTCACTTCAACCAGCATGTCACTTCAACCAGCATGTCACTTCAACCAGCATGTCACTTCAACCAGCATGTCACTTCAACCAGCATGTCACTTCAACCAGCATGTCACTTCAACCAGCATGTCACTTCAACCAGCATGTCACTTCAACCAGCATGTCACTTCAACCAGCATGTCACTTCAACCAGCACGTCACTTCAACCAGCACGTCACTTCAACCAGCACGTCACTTCAACCTGCACGTCACTTCAACCTGCACGTCACTTCAACCTGCACGTCACTTCAACCTGCACGTCACTTCAACCAGCACGTAGCTCACCTTTGACGGAGATGTCAAAGGCAGCGTCCCTGAGATCCTCCACCAGCTTGTGCGCGCTCTCAATGGTCGCCATGCGCCACTGCATTGGCACCTGCTCATGCATGGGGTAGCATGAAAGGCAGTGTGGCATAGCGTGCAGACAGCAACTGAGGAGTGGAATACAGCGGGTGGCGAGATGGACGCACAGGTTTCTGCTCTCGATGGTGGCCATGCGCCACTGCATTGGCACCTGCGCACATTCAATGGGGAGACAGTGGCTGGCGAGATGCCATACATTCAACCGCACATATTCGTGACCTCCAATGCTGCAAGCAATCTGGCCATGCTCAGCTGCGATTAGGTTGAAGCAAGTGAGCATGTTGCACCAAGGGAAGAAAATGATGACGGCGGTGGGCATGCCGCATGTGTGACAGCATGTGTGACAGCATGTGTGGCAGTATGTGTGACAGCATGTGAGACAGCATGTGTGACAGCATGTGTGACAGCATGTGTGACAGCATGTGTGACAGCATGTGTGACAGCATGTGTGACAGCATGTGTGACAGCATGTGTGACAGCATGTGTGACAGCATGTGTGACAGCATGTGTGACAGCATGTGTGACAGCATGTGTGACAGCATGTGTGACAGCATGTGTGACAGCATGTGTGACAGCATGTGTGACAGCATGTGTGACAGCATGTGTGACAGCATGTGTGACAGCATGTGTGACAGCATGTGTGACAGCATGTGTGACAGCATGTATGACAGCATGTGTGACAGCATGTGTGACAGCATGTGTGACAGCATGTGTGACAGCATGTGTGACAGCATGTGTGACAGCATGTGTGACAGCATGTGTGACAGCATGTGTGACAGCATGTGTGACAGCATGTGTGACAGCATGTGTGACAGCATGTGTGACAGCATGTGTGACAGCATGTGTGACAGCATGTGCCAGCATCATTCAAGCATGTCTTTACTTCACCCGAACTGTCTCTGCCTCACCTCGGCGTGTGACTTAAAGCCCAGCAGCTTGGCCTTCTCCTGCTTGAGCTGCAGAATGCGTGTGATCACCGGGGTGTTATCAATGTCGCCCTCGGAAGCGCGGGTTACAAAGGCGCGATACACTTCTTCCCTCAAGCTCCGGTTGCGACAGTGCTGCAGGGGGAGGTGGATAGAAGAAACAGGTGACAGAAACATGAGGCACACGCACGAGAAGGATGACAGAAAAGCAAGTGATAAACAATAGAAACGCGGATGAGAATGGCACTATACATGAGAGGACTTTTGAGGCGCCTCAAAAGACGACTTTTGAGGCGCCTCAAAAGTCGTCACACGCACGAGAAGGATGGCATAAAAGCAAGTGATAAACGATAGAAACGCGGATGAGAATGGCACTATACATGAGAGAAGGGACAGTGCGCCATGGACAGTGGTGTTCCATACCCAGATGAGAGGCACGGTGTGCATACCTGCATGAGAGGCGCGGTGTGCATACCTGCACGAGAGGCACGGTGTGCATGCATACCTGCATGAGCGGCAGGTAGGAGGGCATGTCGAGGGTGAACGCCCATGGGCCGTTCTCTGCCGTGGCTCCCTCGTGACCCTGTGTGTGGTGGGGAAGGGCACGAGAGGCGATGCATGGGTGGAAGGCAGGGACGGGAAGGGGTGCGAAATGCAGTAGATGGGGACTACAGGCTCGTGGAAGTGCATGGACGGATGGGGGAGACGTGGAACAGCAGCAGCAGCAGCAGCAGCGGCGGCGGCGGTGGCAGCAGCAGCAGCAGCAGCAGCAGCAGCAGCAATAGCAGCCACGCACCTTCCCAACAGCAGCCTGAGCAGCCAAGCCCAGCGCGGAGGGCGGCAGGCCCGCCACGTCAGCAGGGTCAGTGACAATGCGGACAAAGCGCTTGGTGGCGTCAAGCACGTTGTTTTGGAACTTGGTTCTCAGCTGCGCCAGCTCCGTCGTTACTCATGGTTTGGAAGAGCGGCAGTACTAAGGAAAGCTTTTAGCAAGAAAAGAAAGAGAGTTACAAAACCCTTGCTACGAGAATTCTGAAAGCAAGAAACTGTATTCACTCAAAGAGAACAGGTCGCAAACATGTTTCGGCAAGGCGGGGAGAAACCCGTCAAGCCTTCATCAGTGCTTCTGAACACAACGAGATCTACAGTCTGGTATGAGCTAAGTACTAACCCACACCCCGAACAGAAATCAAAGTTCCCAACTACCCAGATTGCCTAACAATGGGCATTCGCCAACACAGCAATGGGTAAAAACCCGAGGTTACAAGTGTCAGCCTTCTGTGGTGTCTTCGTCAGGGCTATCGATAAGCCTTGGAACTTTCGCTCGCACGAGTAACTTTTGTAAGTTACGTGCACACCTCCAAGCAATGTAGACATTCCCCATATAAAATCCGCGTGAACTTAGACGATTTTTGAGGCGCCTCAAAAGGACCCCCAGCCTGAGACGAGCTGTCACAGGAGTGAACAGTGTCTTCAAGACCAGGGGGCCGCGTTCAGGTGGGGATGAAAGTCGGTGTGCTTGGCGAGCTTCGGTTTGCTCTAGAAGGAGCGGGCGTTGCCTGAAGAGAACACTATGGAAAATGGGTGTGAGAAAATCAGCAGGGTAACCCCGATCTCTAAGCCGCTGGAAGAAAGCACGCTTAGAAGCTAGAAAGGTTGGGGCAGATGTCGAGCGTAACAGATACCGCTTCAGTTCAGCCCTTACAAAACCCGTCTTGCAATGTCGGGGGTGGAATGAAGAAAAAGGCAGGTACAGGTACTTATTAATCGGTTTCTGAAAAGTTTTCAGATCCAAGGTACCCTGTTCGGCGAAGCGTGGCCCCTTGAAGATGACCATATCCAGAAAATCAGCCGAACTGTCTGAGATCTGCCACGTGAGTTTGATGTTGGGGTCAAGCGAGTTGAAGGTATTCAGGTACTCCTCCAGCTCCCCCCTTGATCCGGGCCAAATGATCAGCCCATCGTCGATGTATCGCACGTGGCACAACGGAATCGTCCCAGACCACCTCCTTGTCAGCATCTCGTCCAGCCAGCTCATGAAGAGTACCGCAAAGCAGACAGCCGCAGGAGTTCCCATGGCCGTCCCTTGAGTTTGAAGAAAGATTTGGCTGTCGAACTCCACGTAGGAGTTCATCATGACCCACTCCAGCAGGGCCATGACTGGAAGAGCATTCAAATGTCTTTCTCGATGAAGTAAGCTGCTGATCGCATCGAGTCCTCGCCGCAGTGGTATACTGGGGTACAGCGAAGTCACATCGTACGTAGCTAGAAGAATCCCGTTCGGGAAGGCAGTTTTCTCCAGCATAAGCAGCAGCGAAAGGGAGTCGCGTAGGTAAGTCGTTTGTTTAAGAACCAGCGGCCGTAATTCAGCATCCAACCATCGGCTAACATTGGAAGTCACCCATGAATGTGAAGCAGCTATGGGCCGCCCCGCAAGCTTCTTCTTATGCAGTTTCGGAAGAATGTAGAACGCCGCCGGCCGCCAACCTCCGCGAGGCTTGTCAAAGAAGTATTTCCACAGACTCTCTGGAAAAGCAGGTCCCCACACACTCTTCAGATCACGTAGTTTCTGCACAACTTCGACGGTAGGATTGTGGAGGCACGGAGCGTAAGTAGCCGCGTCGTCAAGATGCTCCAGACAGAGACGGGTGTAGGTGCTCCGATCCAACACAGTAATCCCCACGTTCTTATCAGCAGGTTTCACCACCACGTTGCGATCTGTAGCGATGGAGCGCAGCGCCCGTCTAACACCGTTTGAAATGTTCCAGTGGCAGATGGGGCGGGAAGCCTTCAACAGGAAGGACAAGTCAGCAAACGAGTCCTTGAAGACCTGCTCCGGAATGTCGTTCCGCTCGGGCAGCCATCCGGGGTTCCGCACACGAAATCTCGGGTTCCCTTTCAGGTTGTCCGAATCCTTGAAGAAAAAATGAAGCGAAATCTGGCGAAGTAGCGTGTTAAGCTCCACGTCGCCAGAAAGGGAAACGGCAGGCGTTGGGATGAACTTCAGACCCAAACCCAGCCCCTTCTTCTCGTCCGAAGATAAGAGTCGAGAGCTGAGATTGTGAACTCCCCGGTTCCGGATCCGCGCCGACACCTGTCGTACTGTCAGCTGTCCGAACCAGCGGAGCGCCAGATCATGGCTCGTTAGTTCTTGTGCGGCCCTTTTCCTGGGCCGCCTCCGCCGTTTTTTGGTCCCTTGGCCTTCACGTCTGCTGCCCGGCCTTTCGCCTGCTGGTCCTGGGTGCCGTCCTTCTTCTTCTTCTTACCCCCGCGCTTCTTTTTCGGCTTGGAATTCCCGGCCGTACTCCCTGAGTGGCGCTCCTTTTCCATCGGAGTAGTGTGCATCGGTTTTCCGGCTGGGGCATTCTTCGGCTTCGCGTCAGCAGCAGGAGCCTGGGGGGAATCCTGTTTTCCCAACGAAAGATTTTTCAGCAGCTTCTTCATCAGATTGGCCTCAATCTTCGGAATCATCTCCCTCCGAATCTTGTCTTCAATCCGCTTCGCGTGCTGATTCATGATCTCTCCAACCCCAGCTTCCACTTCCATTTCCTGCACCTCCTCGGACGCAGCTGCTTTCTTCAACTCTTCGGCGGCAGCCTTGTTCTGTCGATCGAGCTCACGGATGACAATCTCATCCCTTGCGGTCTGGATGTCAGAATTCGCCTTTTCGATGCAACGCCCCTTGAAAACACGGAATTTCTCCTTGGCGGCGTCAGACACAACCAAGTCGGGGTCAGCACTCAGGCTCTTGATGTATTCTTCCATCCTCGATGCTAGAGCGACGACGTGCGAGTCCACCGCCTTCTGAAGTTCTTCAATCTCCAGTGCTTTCGAGGCGATAAAATCCGCTTGCAGCCGCTTTTGATTCGCCAAGTGAATCTCTGAGACGGACGCAACAGATTTCTCCTTGACAGAGGCAAACTTCGTCTGGAACTCCGCGGTCTTCGTGCGGATGCTGTGGAGAATCACGCCTTGACGGTCAAGTTCCTTCATCTTCTTGAGTTTGCTTTTCGCCTTAAGCAGATCCTTGAAATCGTCGCGAAAACCCTTTACAGCCGACGCCGTCCACCCCTTGAAAAGTTCCGGGATTGGAGAATTGTCGACCGGGTCCGACATGACGGGACGACTTCCAGAAGGTCCGGGGAGAGGATCTTCAGCTTGCTTGTTAGATGTCGTGGGCTCGAGTGTGAGTGCCAGAGGGGGAATCTTAGCACGCGCTCCGGATGCTGAACGAGCTCTCCTTCCAGCGCGTGACGATCCACCCTCACCTCGAGACCTCTTAACCGAACTGCGATTCCCTGTACCGGCTTCTTCCTCGTCGGATGGATTCCAATCGAAGTCCCACGGGTCGTCGTTACTCATGGTTTGGAAGAGCGGCAGTACTAAGGAAAGCTTTTAGCAAGAAAAGAAAGAGAGTTACAAAACCCTTGCTACGAGAATTCTGAAAGCAAGAAACTGTATTCACTCAAAGAGAACAGGTCGCAAACATGTTTCGGCAAGGCGGGGAGAAACCCGTCAAGCCTTCATCAGTGCTTCTGAACACAACGAGATCTACAGTCTGGTATGAGCTAAGTACTAACCCACACCCCGAACAGAAATCAAAGTTCCCAACTACCCAGATTGCCTAACAATGGGCATTCGCCAACACAGCAATGGGTAAAAACCCGAGGTTACAAGTGTCAGCCTTCTGTGGTGTCTTCGTCAGGGCTATCGATAAGCCTTGGAACTTTCGCTCGCACGAGTAACTTTTGTAAGTTACGTGCACACCTCCAAGCAATGTAGACATTCCCCATATAAAATCCGCGTGAACTTAGACGATTTTTGAGGCGCCTCAAAAATCCTCCTGCTGTATCTCGTTGAACCGCGCCTTGGCCTCGCCTTCAAGTGCCACACCACTCGTCTTGGCAGATATGAGCTCGGCTGTGTGGTGGGGATGAGGGAGGCGGCAAGAGGGTCGAGTCAATGAATGGATGATGGCGATACGCATGGGTGGAACGTGAGTGAACATTTACTAGTCTGGGCGGAGGTGAGAATGGCAGCGTGGCGTTGGAAGAGAGAGGAAGAAGCGAGGGGTGACGGCGTTGGAAGAGAGAGGAAGAAGCGAGTGGTGACGGCGTTGGAAGGTGGGAATGGGTGGCTGTTTTGTCACGCTGTGGATTTCTAGCGGAGTTGAGCCGTTATGCCAGGGGGTCCCTACCCACTAGGCACGCACCAACCCACACACAGCAACCCACTCAAACCAACTCACACTCAACGACGCGCTTCTGAGCGACGCTCAGACTCTCCCACAGCGGCTCATCCGCCCTGATGGCGACGAAGGCGTCGTAGAGCGGGCGGCTCTGCCCCAGGCGCAGCGACACAGAGCGACCCACACGTTCCAGTCCGCATACACACGCCAGCCCAACTCACACTCGACAACGCGCTTCTGTGCCACGCTAAGGCTCTCCCACAGCGTCTCGTCCGCCCTGATGGCGACGAACGCGTCGTAGAGCGGGCGGCTCTGCCCCAGGCGCAGCGAGAGCTTGACGACGTCCGGCTGCACCTCCTCGAACGCCGCCCGCAGCTCGTCCGAATTCTTCACCGCGTTCAGGTGGTTCACCGCGCCCCACGGGATGCTCAGCCGGTCGCCAATGCGCTCCACGGGCTCCACGAGGCCCGCCCACGTGGGCTTCACGTTCTTCTCGAGATCGTCCAGCTGCTCCTCCTGCGGGTGTGGCGGTCAGTGTCGGAATGTGGGGATCGGATGTGTACGATTTGGAATCGGATTATGAGACATGTTGGATCGACTTCTGAGAATCCTGGAGAGAATGACGCATGGATTTAGTCGAGCATCTCCAAGCGGACTGTCATTTCTTCTGCGAATAAATCTGGCAGAAAGTTGGCGACAAGGTTCGGATACAGTATTTGAATTTCCCCCAAATAACTCAGTTGCCCATTAAACGCTCGGAGACTACATTTATTCAACACTGAGTGCTCTCAAGCATGAGAAATCGACGGCCCAGCTCCAAAAATCCTGAAATTCGAGTGCTCATTCACTTGAATCAAAAGACGATGAGGCTCAGATACATCACTCGTGAGGGATTGGGTGCTCAGACACTGAATTCGCGAGAATTAAGTGATCAGACTCTACATTCCTGAACGCTGCGTTCTCGAACATTGGATTCTTCACCCATTGAGTGCTCAGACTGTAAGCCCCTTAGTCCTCGGGTGCTCAGACTCTAAATTCCTTAGACATTGGGTGCTCAGTCACTTGAATCTTTGGAGATTAAGTGCGCAGTTACTAGGCTTACGAGACATTGTGGACTTCACCTGTGAATCCCAAAACATCCGGAGCTCAGACACTGAAATCCTGAAACGTTACGCGGCTTTGCCTACGTACCACTTCCTTGAGAATGGCTCGCATGCCCGGCACCACGTCCTTGGGCTCGATCTTGTCGAACAGCGGAATCGACGCGGGATTCAGCGACAGAAGCGGGTTCTCCTTGACGTCCGCTGCGACCTCCGTAGTCGCCACTGCAGCAGCCATGGTCACTGACGGTCTGGCCCTTGCAGACGAGATTCCGGACACGAAAAGCGACCCGCGGCCTGAATTTATCGCGGATAGAGAGCTTGGTTTTGCTACGAGGCGGTTCGAGCAGAGAGAGGAGGGAGTCGGCAGCAAGCAGATCCCGACCGTCCGATTGCCGGCCTTGCCGGAGAGCTCGGCTCGCAGTTGGCTAGGAGAACTCTTCAGCGATGACGGGGCGCTAGAGGAGCACAGAGGCATGGAGAGAGAAAGGGCCATAAGCAGTCCGATCTTAGCTCGTGGCGGACGGTTGTGTGCGAGGAACTTGAAGCTTGAGATAGTGAAGCTGAGCATGGCGTGAGAAATGGTTGCCAGAATTCAATTTCAACATCAGAGATTGGAGCGGCGTGGGTGGGATGGGAAGTGGGATGCGCTGCAGTGTTTAGGTGGGTGGACGAGACTGTAGGCGGAATTAGGCGGAAAGGCGGGAACGCGGAAATAGGCAGACACCGCGAAACGCGGGCGGAAATGATGGTGTAGGTGGAAGTGATTCCCCAGGGTGTATGGATGGATTCGGATAGCAGGGGGTGACCAGGGGGTCAGATCAGGAGCAAGGGAGGGAGCGCGGAAGTTGGCGGGGAGAGGAAAGTGGTCGCAAGGGGGTAATCCTTGTGGAGTGCCACGCGGCTGAACGACGTTGCGCCACGCGAATACTCCATTGTGGTACGTTGACCAATCAAAGCAAGCTCCTTTAGTCAATTGCACCAAGATGGGTTTCGGTGAACACGATAGTACCTTCTACCAACTTCAGTTAGGGCTTTTAATAACCAACATGCTTGATTCCTCAACGGGAAAGTACATCCCAGCTCCTTAGTTTCAAAAATATCTCAAATTTCGTCCCAAGTTCACCCAAAAGGTATACCTTTGTGGAATTTCGCTCACACGAGGCCCACATTATGTTCAAAACTGGTCCTGCGGGGCAAACATTTCGACACGTGTCCATTTCGCAACAATATTTTTTTTACGAGGCAAAAAATAATAATACCCCTAGGGAAACAGGACACTTTTTCGGGAGGGATCCACCCTGAACACCAAGCGGGTTCCCGTGTTTAGGGTGGATCCCTCCCGAAAAAGTGTCCTGGTTTCCCTTGGGGTCTTATGTTTTCTGCCCCGTCAAAAAATCCCGATGTGAAAACAGACACGTGTCGAAAGGTTAGCCCCGCATGACCAGTTATGAACATAATTTGGGCCTCGCGTGAGCAAAATTCCACAAACTCATACCTTTTTAGTCAACTTGAGACTAGATTTGAGATAAATTTGAAAATCAGGAGCTGGCATGTACTTTCCCATTCCTCAACCTCACCCCATAGAAGCAAAAAGACAGGGAAAGTAGCATTACTTGCATCACATGTAGAACTTGCATTCATTTGGGCTCATGTCATTATTTTTAGGATAAATTTGATCTATACAGGACATAAAAAAAATCATTGCACAACACAAGGATGTCTGGCTGCTTGAGAGACTCCTTCGAGTACGAGAGGGAATAACTTCTTGTGGATTCTTTCCCCACCCAAGTTAACCTAGAGGTTTATGTATTCATGATATGGTATGAAATATATGTAAAAAAAAATGAATGTATCCCATGAAAGTTTGACCAAGTTCAGCTTTTATGACAGTCAGTATTTATTGTAGTGGACAGGGAAAGAGTTGCATCACGTATTAATCAACAGTTTACGCAGTCGTATATAACTGTTTTAAAACAAAGGAACATCACAACGGGGACAAAAGCGTCGTCCTGCCAGATAAAACACACATATGGAAGTTTTTCAACATTCCTTACCGCGACCATCAACATCGCGTACAGCAGCAGCCGTTGTTCGCCCGTTAATGCTAATGGGGCTTCGCCAACTTCGCTTCGCGCGCACTGTTTCACCAGACCTTGCACTGCTGGCCCAGCCGAGTCGGCCTACGCTTCGGGACTAGCCTGAACCTCCATGCCAGTGTAGCACTAGCTAGCTCGCACGCACCGCGTAACCGTTGCATGTTTTTGCACATAAGTATTCGCTCATGCCTTCGCTCATACTTTGTACTTTTGATCCACATAGTGCAATCCTCGCTACCTCGTTCCATTGCACCCGTAACACTTGGTTATCAGAGCCACTTTCCTTTCGGACCACGCATCTCCGCACCCTAGGAAATCAACTTTTGATTTTTGCTCGAAGGGACTTACGCCCCTTGGTGTTATAATATACTTATATATTCTTTATAACTGTCTGTAGCGTAGACTGTAGTGTATCTCATTTGCTGTAGGTGGTGTACTATGTGGCTTTCTCATTGCTATATCTTGTACCTTGCTCAATAGTGAAACCTCTCCTTTCTCAACTTTTCTCGACACCCAAGCTATGCTTCAACTCTCTCGACACCCAAAAGCTATGCCTCCTAAGCCTAAACCTAGTTTCCTAGGTGCTTAGTATTCTGACATGCTATTAGAGTAAGTTTCGATCTAGGACCATTCTCATTGGGCCCACCCTACGCTTCTAATGCATCACTCTGCTGCCCGTCGCGCGCCCCGGGCGCCCGTCGGTTTTCTGCCCGTCGTGCGCCTCGGGCGCGAGTCGATTTTCAGCCCGTCGCGCGCCCTGGGCATGCGTCGATTTCGTGCCCGTCGTGCGCCACGGGCGCACGACAGTTTCCTGCTCGTCGCGCGACCTGATGTCACCCGCGCAGCCCCTACACCCCCCCCCCCCCCCCCCGCCCCACCGACCCCCCCTTCTCCTCCACCCCCCTGCTGATCGTGCAGCAGTGGGGGGGAGGGTATGGGGGTGGCGGGTGTGGCGCACGACGGGTTCATGCCCGTCGCGCGCCCTGCTATCGTCCGAGCAGCTTCTACACCGCCCCCCCCGCCCCCCCCCTTTCTCCTCCATCCCCCTGCTGCGCGCGCAGCAGTGGGGGGGAGGGTATGGGGGTGGTGGGTGTGAGTAGTCAACCGCCCACCACCTCCTCCTCTCTCTCCCTGCCGCATGGGGAGAGGGGGGGGAGCTTGGAGGTTAAGGGGGTGGCAGGAAGGGATCTGCAGCACCAGCCCCCCCGCCCCCCTCTTCTCCTCCATCCCCCTGCTGCGGGTGCAGCAGTGGGGGGGAGGGTATTGGGGGTGGCGGGGGTGAGTGAACTGCTGCCGCCTCTCCTCCTTTTTCTCCCACTGCTGCACATGCTACTGTGGGGGGGGGGGGGGGGGAGGGTGTGGGGGAGATGAGGGAGTGGAGGTAGGGATGCGGAGGGGTGTGAAAGGGAGGTTTGGGGAAATGGGGGAAGGTGAAGGGGGGGGATGCGGTGAAGCCAGCAGCTCCAGTCGCCCGTGAGACCGTTGCGCTAGTTGCCCGTGAGCCCGTTGCTCCTGTCGCCCGTGAGTCAGTTGCTCCAGCCGCTCGCTTAGCCGCGGAGCCAGTTACTCCAGTTGCCGGTGTGCCAGTTGCTCCATTTGCCAGTGTGCCAGTTGCTCCAGTTGCCAGTGTGCCAGCAGCTTCAGCTGCCACCCACCACCTCCTCTCCTCTCATGGTCCCTCCTCATCTTCACTTTCCCTCTCCTTCCTCCGCTATGCCTGGTGTACCCCTTCAAGGGGTGTTGTGCACAAGGTTCTTCACTACAAGCAGTTAGGGGGTGTGTTAGAATATACTTATATATTCTTTAGAACTGTCTGTAGTGTATCTCACTTGCTGTAGGTGGTGTACCATGTGGCTTTCTCATTGCTATATCTTGTACCTTGCTCAATAGTGAAACCTCTCCTTTCTCGACCTTTCTCGACACCCAAGCTATGCTTCAACTCTCTCGACACCCAAAAGCTATGCCTCCTAAGCCTAAACCTGGTTTCCTAGGTGCTTAGTATTCTGACACTTAGCACCTAGGAGCCGCTGTCCTCGAGTTCTCTCGTAAACGCGTGCAGCCAGGATTGCGCCTAGACTAAGCTGAGCCGACGCCCTTAGGAATGGCCGAGCATATTGACGTCACAAGCCTCACGTAGGAGCGCTTGAACCAACTGCCGTAACAGCTGCATGAAAGCTCCGAAGAAATTGCGGCGTTGATGGCAGAACGTACATCCCTGCAAAACAACGTCGCACGAGTACAACAAGCACAATCGCAAGCACAAGGTGTCAGAACATATATATAGCTTATACTGTTGTGTAGGCTATAGTGGGGTATCCCATAGGGGGTACAACCCAATTAGGGTTTCCCATATGTACTCACTTCATTCATAGTTCATGCATCCTCGTTCTACTCTTCTCATGGTATCGAGCAGGTTCCCTCGTGGGAACTGTTCCTAGGGCCCACCGTTTTTTTTTTTTTTTCTGCCCGGAGCGCACTCTGCCCCTACCCGGGTCGCGCTCCCCTCTCTCTTGGCCCCTAGTGGCCCCTTTAGCCGCCCGTCACGGCCCTTAGCCGCCCGCGCGCCGCCCGTCCCGGCCCCTTAGACGCCCGCGCGCCGCCCGTCCCGGCCCCTAGACGCCAGTGCGCCGCCCGGCCCGGCCCCTAGACGCCCGCGCGCCGCCCGTCCCGGCCCCTAGACGCCCGCGCGCCGCCCGTCCCGGCCCCTAGACGCCCGCGCGCCGCCAGTCCCGGCCCCTCGACGCCCGTGCGCCGCCCGTCCCGGCCCCTCGACGCCCGTGAGCCGCCCGTCCCGGCCCCTAGACGCCCGCGCGCCGCCCGTCCCGGCCCCTAGACGCCCGCGCGCCGCCCGTCCCGGCCCCTCGACGCCCACGCGCCGCCCGTCCCGGCCCCTAGACGCCCGCGCGCCACCCGGACCGACCCCTAGACGCCCGCGCGCCGCCCGTCCCGGCCCCTCGACGCCCGCGCGCCGCCCGTCCCGTCCCCTCGACGCCCGCGCGCCGCCCGTCCCGGCCCCACGCCGCCCTACCTGCGGCCCACTCACCGCCCTACCTGCGGCTCGCCCGCCGCCCTAACTGCGGCCTACCGCCGCCCTACCTGCGGCCCAACCGCCGCCCTACCTGCGGGAGCCGCCTAGCAG